CAAAATTCTCTGTTGCTCAATAACATTTTGTCTGTCTACAAGTCTGCTATCTTGGATGTTTTTCTATTTTGTTACTTTATTTTTTTACTGTGCTATGCGATCGCCGATAGTACAGCTCTTCTCATTTGGTCAAATCAGATCTCCATCTTAACAGCATCTCCGATTGGCTAGGCTGGGCAATGCATTAAAAAAATGAAATACGATATTGTAAAGTAATGGGCACATTTCTAGCATGTGAAAAGCCATGGTAGTAAAGTTATACTATTTCCAATTATTCAATAAAGGTTTTACTCCCACACTCTACTGGGTCATCAAACGACATGATAAATCCACAGGGCCCACGGACGCTGCTGTAGTGGGCTAACAGTGTTATCGTCATATGCAAACCAGCTGTCAAATATGGATTTTTGGAGTACTTAGTGTTATGGCTCTCTCCCGACCCGTATGCACGCACACACACACACACACACACACACACACACACACACACACACATAAAAGTGGTCCCCAACCACCGGGCGGCAGGGCACTTTGCACCGAGCCGCGCAGATGAAAGACTAAAAAACTTACAGTTCGCCCGGGTTTTGCGAATTTCTCCATTGTGAGACAAATAAAGGTCTTTCTTCTTCTTCTTCGTTATTTATTATCTTCGGCAAAAAAAATACTTTCTTTTGAAAAGAGAACGTAATCACTTTGTTACTTCAGTATCTGACAGAATTTTGCTGCATGTCAAGATCCTGCGTTAATTGTAACGGCTGCATAAGGCTGATATTAAACCCACAAGCTAGCAAAATGAGTGAAAACGCAGATCACGCATGAAGCCCGCTCTGCACAATATGCGGCAAGCAGCTTTTGATTTAGTGTGATGGTGACTTACTAGTGATGGGCAGATGATGTCTCATTGGGTGTATGACGCATTTCACAAACTGTCGACACTGTGCTGAAACTGTTGTTTTTTTCATGGCGACATCTGTTGAGGTCATTGCATGCAACTTCAATAAAGACTGGAAACAGATTTATACACAGTTCACTCACCTGTTTTTATTAAGAAACATCAGCTGCGTTCACATCTTTGGGCCGATGCGATTGCACCGTTTACAAACCATTTCTCCTGCTTTTGAGAAGACTGGTTAAGAGGGCACTAATGATGGCGACGCACATAGAAATTCGATGCAAGTCCGTATATGGTAGGGTAATGTGTACCTGAGTAATGGCATCAGCAGTGACATCGTCTTCTACAAGGCTAAGCGGCTGACAGTCTGTGATGATCATATTCACAATGGCCTCATCAATGGCCTTCTTTCTGAAAGTACCGCAGTTCATCACAATAATGTCCGCCGGTTCTTCCCTCTCATGCCGGGCACGATAATGCCTCAGTATTGTGAAAGTGCTCTGGTTCCTGCCAGACAGCTCTTGGGAGTAAATCCTACATTTCACCTACAATAGAAAATGAAGCGTAATCAGTATAAACCGCTTGTCCTCCAAAAAGAAATTAGAATGACCCAAAAGAAATCGGATCACTCATCCAAACAATAACTGATAAATCATTCACCATGTTCTCTGTCATCATATCAAAATGATTCCACACGGCAGAAACCATCCTCCTCCCTCGTTGATCCATCGATGACAACCAATACCAAGAACCAACGCAAAGCAAGGAACGCAAACTCTCTCCATCCAACAAAACCTACAAACGTGTCGACATATTGTCTCCCTTATTAATACAATTAGGCGCTTCCGCAACCAAACGAAACAGGAACTTTGTTCGGTCATGTGGTTTTCCTTAAAATGATATGTGCACCGACGCGTGCGCCAAGGTTTCACTGTTGTCACTATAAGTTACCGGATATATTTTTATGGACTTTATAATTGTTCTACGGTGTCTTATGTTGGCACATTTTAGGAGGACGTTGCTAATATGGTGACATAAAAATTTGCCTTAACGTTTATTGTTATAGCGACAAAATACCCCTGTTTTTGTGTTGCTTGTATAATTCATACTCTTTCTATTTGTTCTGTGATGTCTTCCCCTTGTTATGGTGTCGGTGCTCCTCGTAAAGGTACAAAAACATATTATGATTCCCGTTTGTTGTTTTAATTTATTAATCAGCCCTGAAAATTGCATCAACCAGTCCGCATTACTGAATATGTTGGGGACTCATGCGGTAAAACGGAACTAACACAAAGCTTCCATTTTATCAATGAACTTGGTCAACAGGAAGATTATTCCTTCAGGCATTTTAGTGAAAAAAACAAACATTTCTTCTCTTACACACTATGCAGCTGTTGTTGTTGTTGTTGTTGTTTTAACCGTGTATATTTATTGGTATATGAAGGTCTACTTTTTACTTTTATTTGAAAATCTATTATTCTAAAGCAGTCCAATTTTGGTTTCTCGCTACCCACCTCTGCACACCTCCCACATATGACAGTGTCAGCACCAGACTAACCCTCAAGCAAAAACAATACCAACATACGTACTGTTAGTGAGTGAGTGAGAAGTTTGTCTGCATATTTTTCTGAGAGCGAGACTCAAGTCAAGGTCAAATTTCATTTAGATGGCGCCAATGTATAACAGAATTTTTTCTCACGGCACTGTGACACATTGAGCAGGTCAAGAAGCGGACTCCGTATATACTTTGTATTGTAAGAAAACCAACTCAACCCAACAGTGTAGAGAGCCATATAGAAAAAAAAAAAGAAAACTTGTCTTGAACTGGTTCCAGCATAGCCGTTGTAGAAGGCAAGAGAAACATTTTTGGAGGATTAAAAAAGCTAAACTTTGAGCTGGTTTAGTGCATCTCTTCTCTTCTTTTTCTCTCTTCTCTGTCTTTTATGCGCTTCTTTGTGTCTCTTACTCTGCTCTGGGATGCTGACATGCAGCATATTGTCCCAAGTGTATAATCAGAAAGTAGAAAATTATCCCATGAATGAAGTGAATGAATGAGTGAAGCTTTATCTGCCCTCAACACGACACACGAAGTTTATCAAGTAATCTCTATTTGACAGTCCTGATTCTTTTCTTTCCTTTGTTTTCTCTCCTTCACTTGAAGGATGAATCTGAGAGCTGTGCATGCATGACATTGAACTCAATCAGTTCTTGGATGCTAGCTGACTTTAAATTCATAAACACTGTGTGACTAAATGTACAAACATCTGATTTTTATCCACATGTGGAAGAGGCTTGATTCAGTTTCTGCCTATATTTCTTCCCGGCTAGGATGCATTTCTGAACTGTGCCACCGAGGAGACAAAAAAAAAAAAAAAGCCAGCTAAAAACGTATTCATCCTCCATATTGTCAACATCGGCAATCCATCCATTTTCCGATCCTCTTATTCTCACAAGGGGGGGGAGCCTATCCCAGCTCTCTTCTGGCAGTAGGCGGGGGACACCCTGAACCATTTGCTGGCCAATCGCAGGGCTCACAGAGACGAACAACCATCCACGCTCACACCAAGGGACAATTTAGAGTGTTCAATCAGCCTGCCATGCATGTTTTTGGAATGTGGTAGGAAACCGGAGTACCCGGAGAAAACCCACGCAGGCCCGGGGAGAACATGCAAATTCCACACAGGGAGGCCGGAGCTGGAATTGAACCCGGTACCTCTGCACTGTGACGTCAACGCGCTAACCACTGGACCACCTGCCGTAGACATCGACCATCAGGCACATTTACAAACACAAAATGCACATTTCCACAATGGACCAAATATACAGTATGATTTTCTATCAAATGAACATGAAAATGTCGGTTGAAGTCCCAGAACGTTTAGGATGTTCAAGGTTCCACATCAGAAAAAAAAACAAAAACTTCTAGAACCAAGATGTACAAATGCTTAATTTTTTATTTTTATTTTTTTTTACTCGCCTCGAATGCAGCTTCTTTCGATCAGATATTTAAAAATGACATCCCAGGTGACAACTGTACTAAAAAAACAAAACGTGCCTGTTTGTTGGCATGTCATTTTACTAAGACAACTTTGTAATGCGCCCTGTTCACTAAGAAGGAAATTAAATATTTGTGACTGAAAAATAAGTTATTTTCCTTGGAGGTTTATCACCATTCAGATAGCTCATTGTCTAGGACAAGGCCACCATGAGACAAGAAAGCAAAGTGAACACAGTGACACAAAAAAAAAAAATCAATAAAGAGAAACCTTGTGAAGAAAAATCGTTTTCCCCATCAGAATCTAACTGGCATTGAACATTTACACATACTTGAGGATCCAGTTGTCTCGCATTCATGGTGAGTTCAATCAAACAAACCCCTTGACTTCTGTTTGGTTGCTGGTATCCCCAAAATATGAGCGTGATTAATTTCTCTTCTGGAACTCAGTGAAATACCTTTGCCTCTTTCACCAACATTTTCCATCCTGTTTCTTCTATCTTCGTTTTTCATCTTGCGCTGCTCTCCCAAATTCACCTTAAATTCAAACCCCTCTTTTAAATATGGGAAACAAAACCGTCTGCATTTTTTGCGTGCAAAGCCGTGAAGCAGACTGTCATCCTCCCCGCCGATAATTGGCCAAGACTTTATACAAATGGTTCAGTCATCCCAGAAGAACTCGCTGCTTGTCTGAAGCTTTTTCTATACTGTACTGGAACTTACCACGACAAGGTGGGGGGGAAAAAATACAACAACAATCTTTTGCAGATGTGGGTTGCATGAAAAATGTCAACTCCTATCTCTTGTCTCTCATATCCACCGTTTGGTTTTGCAGCCATTTTTACACCTGTTGCGTTCGGTCAGACAAAATTTCATGCCTGATCGCAATCTTATTAAGTCATGCGAAATACGCCCACCAAGGGTGTGCACAATCTATCAGAGTTTACATGCAATTTAGCTCCCACAACTTTTAAGTCTGGCCCTTTGCACACAGCTGGGGCTCGTGTTTATCCCCAGCTCAAGTTTGATGGCGATCGCAATAACTTCTGACATTCCAGTCCAATAACGTCAAAATGATGGGTGTCTGTGCTTGTGTGTTTTTGCACACCTCAGGTTCTGTGGGCAGAGCAGCAAGTGGTGAAAAAGAGGAAGCGGAGGGATGTCTTTGAGGCACCAACAGACCCCGATTACCCCAAGCAGTGGTACCTGGTGTGTAATGATGTGTCAAATTTGTGAATTCTACCCACGTGTAATGCTTTCTATCTCTAATCAGCATCTGAGTCATTACTACTTGAATGGGTAGAACACTCGGACCACTTTTTTTTACCGCGCTTTTCACTCGTTGCACATGGGCGTTTAGGCTCCTTGCGAGGAAATATGGCAGGCACCGCATTTGGTTTGTACCGTCGTTTCTAGCCTGACCCACCACTGAGATTTCTCAGATGAGAGCACAGCCGCAGGTCTTAAGGCAGGCGGACTCTTCCGAATGCACTGTTTTCTTTACTTTCTCTATTTCGGAAAGCTTTGGAGGCTTAACTAGCTTTCTTTATTCCCCTTTGATTGGAAATGACATCCAAAATAGACACAGTGTGGCATCTTAACTCCTTTCGCTAATAATATCAGTTGTTTGGAATTTTTGGGCTTTCTGGAACTTTGCTGGAACTCTCTGCCACCTGACCTGCTCAATTCAGACTCTCTCATTACCGGTACATTCAAATCCAAATTCAAAACATAGCTTCATTGCCTATGTTTTTTGATTTATGTACAGTGTCCTTGAGGATCTTGGAAGGCACTGACAAATTAAATGTTTTTTTTAATGAATATTATTCTTATTGTTATTATTAAAACATTATGTTCATGATTAAAGCCTTTGTTTTAGCTCTTCAGTGTTATTGGCTGGCAACCAGTGCAGGTTGTACACCAAGTCGTAGAAAATGAAAAAAAAAAAACAATGTTATGCTTGATTGATTTCTGAATTCAATCAGAAGTCCAGTGGACGAGTGAATCTTTAAATGACGTTTGAAATCGTAAAATGTTTAGAGCTCATTTAAAGAGTCTGCATTCAAGTATTGGTACTTCATTATGCTGGATGATTTTTATTAGATAGAAGTTTTGTTGTTGTTGTTGTTTTAAATCATTGTAACCTGCACAATGATTCGCTGGCTGGGAAAAGTTCAAACAGTCTTCACTTTCTGAATGGAAATGTATCATGTAATTTCTCATTTTGTCACTTTCCCAAATGATTGAAATTTTTAACCAAACTTGCTCAGTGACTCACACTGCAGTCCTATTTGTGAACCACATTGACTCACGGGCGAGTTTTGCTCTCCGCCCCTTCCCCCCCACCCATTTTATTTGTCAACATATTAACCCATTGAGTCATAATCATTGAGGTATGCATTGTGATGCATCATCTATTGTTCCATCAATACGTTTCCCTTCTTAATTTTAATTATCTTCTTAATTTCTTGCCAGAGTTTCCCCCTTTAAGATCATCAAACAAATGTAAATATCAGAAAGGGATAAATCTAAGGAAACATAAAATGCAGTTTTTTAAATGGTGATTTGATTTACTAAAAGAGAAAACTATTCAAAGCTATCCATCCGTGTATAGGAAAAGGACGTCCCCCCCCCAACCCCCCGCCTTGTGAATTCATGAATTTACTGCAGGTAATCACGTTTTTCCACAGCCAAACCTGATTACCTCCAGACCTGTTCAATCAAGAAATCACCTAAATAGAAATTGTCTGACAAAATGAAGTCAGCCAACGGATCTCAAAAACCTGCAACAAAATACCCTGGACCAAAGAAATTCAAAAACAGATGAGAAATAAAATAAATGACATCTATCGGTCTTGAAAGGGTTACAAAGTCATTCCTAAAGCTTTCAGACTCGGTGAGAGCTATTCACCACAAATTGAAAAAAGCATGGAACAGTGGATGGAATCAAAATTACCCCAAGAGCACAGTGACTACTTGTACAGGAGGTCACAAAGGAACCCAGGACAATGTCTAAAGAGCTCCTGGCCGCCCTTGCCTCACTTATTAAGGTCAGTGTTAATGACTCAACAATGAGGAAGAGGCTGGGTCAAAATGACATCTGTGGTCCAAAAAAAAGCCTCCAGTGTTAAAGCAATTCTGCAAGGAAGAATGGGCCGACATTTCTTCACAGAGTTATGAAAGACTCATTATTTGCTAAAAACAATAAAGTTGATCAGTTTGAACCATGAATATCTTGTCTTTGTAGTGGATTCAGTTGAATATAGGTTGAAGATGATTTGCAAATCATTGTATTTTGTTTTTATTTAGGTTAAACACAATGCTGAGGGTACCTCACTCAGTTATTAGGTTTAGAAGGTAATCACTTTTTCCCACAAGGCCCTGTAGGTTTGGACTTTTTTTCTTCCTTATTAATCAAAACCTTCTTTTTAAAAACTGCACTTTGTGTTTACCCGTGTTGTCTTGTGAAATCAGGAAGAGAGCAAACACTTTTTCACACAACTGTAAGAATTGATTATTTGTCCCACCACAATGGGTCACATGTAAATAGCCAGTCAAAAATCTTGTGTTGGCACAAAATTTGATTTTGGTGTAAATCCAGCCAAAAAGATTTCGATTCTCACATACTGTAATGTTGAAACTTAACATCTTATTGTCTTCTCCAGTCCACTCTGACTCATCAAGACTTAAATACCAAAGTAGCTTGGGCTCAGGGCTACACTGGAAAAGGTATTGTGGTGACTATCCTGGATGACGGCATTGAAAAAGACCACCCGGATCTTATCAACAATTATGTTAGTGAAGAGAACCTTTCATTATTAAGATACCTCAAAAAAACATCCTAAGCATTATAACCTTGGTTCCTGGTCTCGTAGGACCCCGAGGCCAGCTATGATGTCAATGACGGAGATGCGGACCCCCAACCAAGATACACTCAGCGTAATGAGAACAGGTAAGGAATGCCGTGAATTCCCCAAATTGCCCAGGAATTGGTTTAAACCCTACCCTAAATGAAAAAAGCGAACATGTGCATTTCACAAGTGCTAATAAAGAGCACAAATTAGCTAGATAATGTCCGTCCGATCACAATGAAGTTTGAAAGTCCTGCTTGGTTTACACTCCAAGTCTAGAAAATATAAACTTTCCTCACTTCCACACAATTCAAAGCTTCTGCAACATCAAGGCCCCTCACTGCTGTTTTGGCACTGATTTGTGTTTCATGCCTCAAGCCTTTGATTATTGCATTCATAAATGTTTGCCATGCTTCAGTGTTGTGCGTGAAGCACCTGCAAAGAATAAAACCTCAATCTTAATCTCACTCTTTCTTGTAATATAATTCTGCTCTGCCTTGGTCCAAATGTGAGGTCACGCTGATGTTGGACGAGAAGGCCTGGTTCTCACTCTCCTCTCAAAACTATTCCAAAAGTGTTCTATCTGGTTGAGATCAGGACTCTGTGCAGGCCAGTCAAATTCTTCCACACCAGATGTTGTCATCCATGTAGCAATTCGATTTTACATCACTGTGATCTACTGGATCAGGATGGGCTAATATTTTGCATTTTTCTGCAAAAATTGATGTCATTGATTGTAATGTCATAATTTGCGAATCAGAAAGTAGCCGTGTTCAATTGATTATTTGTCCCACCACAATGGGTCACATGTAAATAGCCAGTCAAAAATCTTGTGTTGGCACAAAATTTAACATCTTATTGTCTTCTCCAGTCCACTCTGACTCATCAAGACTTAAATACCAAAGTAGCTTGGGCTCAGGGCTACACTGGAAAAGGTATTGTGGTGACTATCCTGGATGACGGCATTGAAAAAGACCACCCGGATCTTATCAACAATTATGTTAGTGAAGAGAACCTTTCATTATTAAGATACCTCAAAAAAACATCCTAAGCATTATAACCTTGGTTCCTGGTCTCGTAGGACCCCGAGGCCAGCTATGATGTCAATGACGGAGATGCGGACCCCCAACCAAGATACACTCAGCGTAATGAGAACAGGTAAGGAATGCCGTGAATTCCCCAAATTGCCCAGGAATTGGTTTAAACCCTACCCTAAATGAAAAAAGCGAACATGTGCATTTCACAAGTGCTAATAAAGAGCACAAATTAGCTAGATAATGTCCGTCCGATCACAATGAAGTTTGAAAGTCCTGCTTGGTTTACACTCCAAGTCTAGAAAATATAAACTTTCCTCACTTCCACACAATTCAAAGCTTCTGCAACATCAAGGCCCCTCACTGCTGTTTTGGCACTGATTTGTGTTTCATGCCTCAAGCCTTTGATTATTGCATTCATAAATGTTTGCCATGCTTCAGTGTTGTGCGTGAAGCACCTGCAAAGAATAAAACCTCAATCTTAATCTCACTCTTTCTTGTAATATAATTCTGCTCTGCCTTGGTCCAAATGTGAGGTCACGCTGATGTTGGACGAGAAGGCCTGGTTCTCACTCTCCTCTCAAAACTATTCCAAAAGTGTTCTATCTGGTTGAGATCAGGACTCTGTGCAGGCCAGTCAAATTCTTCCACACCAGATGTTGTCATCCATGTAGCAATTCGATTTTACATCACTGTGATCTACTGGATCAGGATGGGCTAATATTTTGCATTTTTCTGCAAAAATTGATGTCATTGATTGTAATGTCATAATTTGCGAATCAGAAAGTAGCCGTGTTCATGTAGGGTTAGGGTTAGGGTGGGGGGGGTTTAGTGGTAAAAAGTCCAAAAAACATTTTACTTACGTCAATAATAAAAGGAACTAGCTCAAATCTGCATGTTTTTATCTATGTATGTCTGTATTTATTTATTTATTAATATTTTTTCAAATGTGTGGTGAAAAACTCATCACTTCTTAATGCAAAAATAGCTGCTCTGATAAATGGAACATTTTCACATCATGTTAGTTTTTCAACAGCTGTGCCTGAAGTGGATGCTAAAACAGCAAGACTTTTTCTCAATCTGTTTTCCTGAAAGACTGCAGATTTCTTTTTTGTTGTTAATAATTTTGTCTATGTCAGGGGAAATGACCCTATCTGCAAGGTAGTTCAGTCTTTTATCCATCGCATACACGTGATAAAAAGATAACTACTCGTTGCAGATTTTGACTTTTAGGCATCGTACAGCACACATGCTGCTTTGTTGTTGTTTTAGGACCTTTTAAATATGATGTGGTTTTTTTTTCTTTTCTCATGAAAGCACCTACACTTTTGAGAAGTGATCTTGTTTCTTGTCAACACCGTGAGGTTGAGCAGTCATGCAGAGAGCCAAGCCATTTTTGTCGGTGTGAAAGTACATTAATATCATACTGTCCCGCTGACAGAACTAAGCACCACCGTGGAGGGGATTACTCACAGCCTCCGATTCAGCTCCCCGATGGAGCCAAACCATCACCTTGAGATGATACACATACACCCTTTTAAATCAAAGGGCTGACATTTTCACTCACATGCTCTCTATTACCGAGTCAGTTAAAGTACACTTAAGTTTGAGCATTGAATTAAAAGCAAGGTGTTGACCATCGTGAGCAGCTATGATGTTTGGAAGATCTGTTAAAAAAAAATCTGCAGTGATTGAGAGTAACACTGAACACGTGCGAGCAATAACAACAACCCTTGCAATCGGATTTTATGAGCTAATTCACAGTAAGGAGGTGGGTGTTTTTCAGGCTGCCAGTTTGATTAAAACACATGACACAAAGGTTGTTTTCCTGCTTTCTAATTAACATGTCAGGCTCTGTGCTTCACGAGTCGGGAGTTTCGACGGATATTATTGGAATGGAGACAGCCTGAAGGCTGGTTGTGGTTTGTCCCAGCTGGTGACCTCGATGCTCTCAATCATAACCATGTTTCTTCCCCCCCCCCCCTTTGTCTCCGTAATGTCAGTGTGATGTCGATTGTACTGCATGTAGTCAACCTAAAGCAGCAGATTGCAGGACTTATCCTCATCAAGTGTGAAACAACTGCATGTGGTTTCTTAAATGTTTTTAGCCCAAGGAGAGAATAATGATGGGCTGTGGTGGATGTCAGACGAACTCCGGTGTACAATGCACTACTGATCACCTGTAGTCAGTCATTGCTGCATTTCTCAGTTGAAAAGATCTTTTATGAATGGTAGATTCAAGCAAAGAATGTGAGGTGATACTGTGTGCTGTGCTCAGAGAGATTTTCTTTATCGTTATGCTGCACAAAAATGACAAACATCCCATTCATGAGTGTCAATATCATGCATTACTCATTTTTAAGTGCAAGCCCCATCAAAATGATGTATTTTGTCCCCGACCTCAGTGCTACCCGAGTGATAAAGTTGACTGATTCAGAGAGTAGAACATCTGTCACGGTTCTATCGGAGGCGACATCAGTCGCTTGTATAACTGCCGCTGAGGGAATCCAACATGTGGCCTTTTTGGTTGTAAGCTGTAAGCTTTTGACCATTATTATGTTTTTTTAAGGACCTGACCGGACAGCATTCTGCAGATGTCAAACTCAAGGGCCGGGGGCCACATCTGGCCTGCCACATCATTTTATGTGGTCCGCGAAAGCAAATCGAAGATGGCAACTTTCATGATGCTTGCTAAAATCCCTCCCCAAATTTCACATTCTCATTTGTAATAAATAAGAATTATACTGTAAGCATGTTCTTGTTACCACACCCCTGCCCCACCCCCCATGACAGTAACTTAAACAATAGATGAATAAACCGTTATTCTTGACTTCTTTCAGTCATAATGGCCCTCCACGGGAAACTGAAACTAAAATCTGGCCCGTGACAAAAATGAATTTGACACCCCTGCCATTCTGATTTTCTTATGTTCTTTCAGTTTCAATCTTTAAATACAGGATTCAATTAACAAAAAAAAAAAAAACAAAACAAAAAAAAAATCTCTTATCAGTAGAGAAAACATTGAATTTATGTGTGCAGTTTTATCAAACCTCACACAATTCAGACCTGGATTTTTTTTTTTAAAAAAAGGATTATCTTTTGTTTAGCATGCTGGAGAAAGCAACTTTGTGGTTGGTGTGACAATATCCTGACCACCAATCTAATCCTTTGGATGGATCTGTTTGAAGCTGCAAATGAGCAGAAAACAGCAACACAGTGGGTCACGTCATTGAATAGACTCACCATCGAAACAGACTTGAAACAAAAGCCAAATGCCAAAATGCCAAGAGACAGATCCCTACAATTAAGCCAAGCATGGCTAAGCTGCCAGACACATTTGGTCATGCTTTCATGCATCCTACTCAAGAGTCAAAATCCAACACAAACGGGCATACATGTGACTGTGCTGATCCACCAAATTTAAACCAGCACTTGAATGCTCTGCATACACAGCAAATGATATAACCAGAGCTTCACTCACTGGAACTAATAGGCTTTCCTCTACAAAACATTTCAATAAATACAGACCTGCAATGGACCGAAAGACATTGTGTAGCTTTTGGGAAAAGCAATTCTCAGTTAACATAAAGTCCTGTCAAAATGAAATTGTGTGTCTGTTTGAAAATGGTCCTGTAACCACGTGTGCATGTCATTCTCATAAAATGGAGTACTTGATCCACAGAAAAAAATATCTATATTAATTCCAATGACCAATTAGACTTCTTTCATTCCTACAAAACACATAGAAGTACACAATAATTATTTCATTATTCAGTTTCTTGATTTTCTCGGGAGGACTATGCGTGACAGTAACGCGCTGAGAAGGCACACTTCAAAATAAACCTTAGCATACCAAAGAATACAGAGATGTCAATGCCTTCGTTCGCTTTTATTTTGAACTTGTTCCCCGGCAGCGTGTGGTGGCGTGGCAGCTGTCTTCAGTCCTTGTTAGGGCCAGTTTACATCATCGTCACAAAACTGTAGCCACCAGTGTCAACACGACGCCATCACAAAATCATGTTCAATTGCTAATTAAGTATGCGCAAAATAAATAAATAAATAAATAGTCTGAGAAGTGAGACGATTTCATTTGACGTCACGTCATGGTGCAGTCTCCTTTGCTCTCGATATTTAAAAACTTAAAACAAATGGAAGATGGGGATCAGTCGCCTGTTCGCTTTGCACATTTTCACTAAATTCGATGAAAAAAATTGAAGCGTTTTGAGCAGCACATGCAGCAAGATAGCGGCGTCGTGTGATGTCGTGGCTAACTACCCTCAAATGTGGCTATGAGATTTTTATACTGTTTAACCCCATTGGCTAAAAGATTACGTGACCCAGCGCCAACCCTGAAAAGCAAATGTCTTTTCTCCTTGCATTTTGCTATTCACAAAACTAGTCAAAACATTAAAAACTAACATAATAATAATAATAATAACAATAATAATAATAATAAGCAGAAACATGAATTCATTCATGTATCATGGGCAGATATGATGTTTGAAGCTGCAACTTTCTGTTGAAAAGAAATGCCTCCCTGCATTATGAGTCCCAATTTGGCCCTTGATTACGTTCAGTATATAGTTAATGAAGGAACTATCAAGTCGCTATTAACATTGCATGAATACATTATGAGACAAGCCAACTGGCAGTAAAACCTCGAGACGGCAATTGTAGCATTTAATTGCGCAAGTGATGTATAACACCCTCCTATATGCTCTGCCATTATGCTTGTGGAAGGAAGACAAATCTGAATGGCCATGAATAATGAGCCCTGTCAGAACATTAATTTGTCTGTTTTATGATCACTTTTGCACACAATATACAATGTAGTGATTGACTGCCTGGAGTCTAATAAATGTGATGAATGATTTATAAGGAAGCAGAATTGTTTTTTTTTTTTTTTCTGTCTTATGCTTTTTGTGTTGTGGTGTTGTCAATACCTTATGAGGCTAATTTGTTAAGATCCCAAATAGTGGGCCCTAAATTGCATGTTTACTCACTCAAGAGATTGTGTGCACTGTTGGCAACAAGTGTCAGAGTGACAGAGACCGCCGTATTTTAAAGGTTTTTCGCTTTAGGTAGCTCTGATGGGTTTCGGCATGGAACATTTGGGAGAGCACCTCAAGCGCAAAATGAAGTTTATAGTAATGGAATTGGATGTTAGGTGAAAGAGGCAAAAAAAAAAAAAAAAGAGAATCTTGGCTCCGATAATTTGAAGGAAGACAGCAACATCATAAAAGCCACGTTTTGTTTGATTAAACTCGCTCTGAGTACTGAGTGCATATGAATAGGATGTATCGCTTCATCCGTTTCGAACTTGGGACAGCACGCCAGAAAGGGTTCTGGGATCGGTCAGCATCAATTTTCACAGTGCATTGAAATGATGCAGACACAAGGAAATCCAAATCTAAAATGAGTGTTTTTATCGATGATATGATGTGACTCCGAACTAGGGATGTTGCGATCGATGGCCGATAATTATTAATCAATATTTGTGTGAAAAAGGGTCTGATCGGTGAACTGGATCAAAGCCTTTTAAGGCTGATTGATTACCCTATGTATCGAATTGCTCTGTTAAGGGAGTGACAAACTTCTACAAAATGTTTCTCACATATTTCTATTAAGCCTCAATGTAATACAAGAAGTATTAGGGATGTTACTGTTTCTACATTCAATTATTTTTGTTTTTTTAACAGTAATGCATGACGCATCACCAATGATGTCGGGGAATTGACATGGATATCACAATTCTACACACAACTTAAAATTATGTTTTTTTTTGGGTTTTTTTGTTTTTTTTGTTTTTTTAAAAGGAGGGAAAAAACCTGATAAGTCTTAGCCGACGTGGGTTTTCTGCGGGTACTCCGGTTTTCCTCCACATTCCAACAACTTGCACCGTAAGTTAATGGAACACTCTAAATTCTCCTTAGAGAACGTGATCGGTGACGGCAGCTTAACTCTTTCAGCGACAGAGGTTACTAGAGTGAAGAGCTATTCATGTTTTTTTTTCTCTTCTATTAATTAATCTTAATGTCACAGTTGTGCATCAACCACGGCAATGGACCCTATGTGTGTTGCCATCCACTGCCATGATTTTGTTTTCATGGCTAAAGACTCATAAAAACACTTAAGAAAAAAATCCTCATGTAGGTTATTATTATTTGTGCATGAAAGGGTCGGAATATCCCTACTCCGAATTGTTACTGGCTCCAAGTCAGTCCTTAGATCAGTCAGAAGCACCATAATTGCATTGATGAATGGGCAATCTCTTGCGATCATTTTTGTGCCTGGCATTTAAAAAATGTTGAATAACGGTCAAAGATCCATTCCTCCCATCACTTCTTATTTTGCCTGCCTCGCCTCATGATGTTTATGCACAGAGGTGTCGTGTGCACCTGTCTTTCAGAGACGGTATTTAAAGACATAAAACAATTTCTTGGTTTTGATGAATCACATTGCGTGTGCTGAATTCATCCGTGTGTATGTACTCCTCCCAGGAAGCGCAAAATGAACTGTGCGGTTATCACGCCCATTTGGCAGGCACAATCCTGTGCTTGTCTGCTTAGTAGATTGGCTTCCACATCTTTTTGCGTTTCCATTTTTTCATGCGCAAACCTTGAGTAAATCCAAAACTGTATCAGGAGGACTAAGAACTGTGAAGGAATGAGAACAGCAACAAGATGGTGATACATCACTGTTTTCCAGAGCTTAATCAGGAGTCTGGCTTGAGGCGTAGCTCTGCTCTGACCCTGTGAAGTGACTTTGAATCAAAAAGTTGTTTTTATTTTTTTTTCACGCTCTGCTATAGCAGCAGTGCGGCTGTAATCACCTTGGCTTTAATGCTGTGAAGACAGGACATCCCCGAGATAGCTGCTCATCTACATCCACATATAACATGGGGGAGGCAATATATTTTAAAAGGAGTTCACCTGTGTAAAAAGAAGGCAAGGTTTGGAAAATAGACGACAGATGTAAAGGTGTTATGTTATTACTTTGTTGTGCATCGTAACTGGCAGTCTGCCGAGGTGTCCCCATTATATCTGACAAACGTGATCAACAACTAGTATTGCATGTATTTAACAGATAGAGGAGGATACGTTTGTAATATGTTGGTGTATTTTTCATCATTGACACTGTGTCCTGTAAAGCTCAACACCCACATTTATCGAGAATGACTAATGTGCATTGATCAGTTTGTGTCTGTCAGTGGTGAATAGTCAGGGCCAGAAAGGTCTTCTGTGTCCACTGTAAGAATCCCAAACCTGTGCGCTTTAATGCCTGAATTTGCTCAATAGGGTACACATCTAATTGCAAATGCTTTTAGATGTGAAGAATGTTGTAGTCTGGATGTTGCGTCTACTGTTGTGATGCTCAAATAAAATATTCATTCGATGAATTTCAGGTCTTTTGGGCTTCACAACACTCCGGAAAACAGGAAACGATCTTCCTTCAATTCAGGACTAACACACTCTCATGCTCAGTCTTCAATAGTAAAAATGTTTCTCTTTCATGGTCCTTCCTAATCTGCTCTCTTCAAAGACATGGAACTCGATGCGCAGGAGAGGTTGCAGCTGCAGCTAACAATGGTGTGTGCGGCGTTGGTGTGGCCTACAACGCTAAAATTGGAGGTAAGGGCATCATCGTAATTAGGGATTTCTCTCATCAGTCATTTATCTAGTTTTCTTTCAGGTATGGTAACGTAAGATCAAAATAAAAACTCCAATGAATAATATGATGAGCATATAAGACTTTGACGATACTGAGATGATGTGTGGACTTTAAATGTCCCCCCGCCCCCCTCCCCCAATGCCCAAATGTACTTTTTTTGTTCAATTAAGTATATATATTATTTTAGGCGGCCTGGTGGTCCAGTGGTTAGCACATCGACCTCACAGTGCAGAGGCACGGGGTTCAATTCCAGCTCCGGCCTCCCTGTGTGCAGTATGCATGTTGTCCCCGGGCCTGCGTGGGTTTTCTCCGGGTACTCCGGTTTCCTCCCACATTCCAAAAACATGCATGGCAGGCTGATTGAACACTCTAAATTGTCCCTCGGTGTGAGTGTGAGCGTGGATGGTTGTTCGTTTCTGTGTGCCCTGCGATTAGCTGGCAACTGGTTCAGGGTGTCCCCCGCCTACTGCCTGAAGACGGCTGGGATAGGCTCCGGAACCCCCCCCGCATATGTTGGTGTATTTTTCATCATTGACACTGTGTCCTGTAAAGCTCAACACCCACATTTATCGAGAATGACTAATGTGCATTGATCAGTTTGTGTCTGTCAGTGGTGAATAGTCAGGGCCAGAAAGGTCTTCTGTGTCCACTGTAAGAATCCCAAACCTGTGCGCTTTAATGCCTGAATTTGCTCAATAGGGTACACATCTAATTGCAAATGCTTTTAGATGTGAAGAATGTTGTAGTCTGGATGTTGCGTCTACTGTTGTGATGCTCAAATAAAATATTCATTCGATGAATTTCAGGTCTTTTGGGCTTCACAACACTCCGGAAAACAGGAAACGATCTTCCTTCAATTCAGGACTAACACACTCTCATGCTCAGTCTTCAATAGTAAAAATGTTTCTCTTTCATGGTCCTTCCTAATCTGCTCTCTTCAAAGACATGGAACTCGATGCGCAGGAGAGGTTGCAGCTGCAGCTAACAATGGTGTGTGCGGCGTTGGTGTGGCCTACAACGCTAAAATTGGAGGTAAGGGCATCATCGTAATTAGGGATTTCTCTCATCAGTCATTTATCTAGTTTTCTTTCAGGTATGGTAACGTAAGATCAAAATAAAAACTCCAATGAATAATATGATGAGCATATAAGACTTTGACGATACTGAGATGATGTGTGGACTTTAAATGTCCCCCCGCCCCCCTCCCCCAATGCCCAAATGTACTTTTTTTGTTCAATTAAGTATATATATTATTTTAGGCGGCCTGGTGGTCCAGTGGTTAGCACATCGACCTCACAGTGCAGAGGCACGGGGTTCAATTCCAGCTCCGGCCTCCCTGTGTGCAGTATGCATGTTGTCCCCGGGCCTGCGTGGGTTTTCTCCGGGTACTCCGGTTTCCTCCCACATTCCAAAAACATGCATGGCAGGCTGATTGAACACTCTAAATTGTCCCTCGGTGTGAGTGTGAGCGTGGATGGTTGTTCGTTTCTGTGTGCCCTGCGATTAGCTGGCAACTGGTTCAGGGTGTCCCCCGCCTACTGCCTGAAGACGGCTGGGATAGGCTCCAGCACCCCCCGCGACCCTTGTGAGGATAAAATGGATCAGAAAATGGATGGATGAATGGATGTTATATTCTGTAAAATTATTATATACATACTGAACACTTAATTGAACTTAGTGATTTTATGGAGTAGCATTTTTTTTGGGGGGGGGGGGTCCAACACAGTGTGATGCTATTTTAAGGGGATGGAAGTAAATGATTCATTTCCTTTTTTGTAAATATATGTTTTGACATAATGTCGTCCTATATGCTTTACTCTGTGTTTATTTGGCTTCCGCTTCTGCCCAATCGGCTCGTCGCTTTTTGAAAGCCAGATGACGGTGGCTGAAAAGGCCTCAATCAGAACGATGCTGTCTGGTTTAAAACCAGCCTGACCACCCATTTTTAATTGTTGGCTCACAACACAGCATGAGAGACTGCCATTGTTTTTTAGTGCCTTATTTGTTTTCATAGATTTTAACATTGTTGTTTTATTGTTTCTAAATTATGTTCGGTTCAAATGTCTTGCCTACTTATATTCCACTTTAGTTTATCTACAGCACTTTGTTGCAGCTGCGGGTGTGTTTAAAGAGCTCTATTAAACACGATTGAGTTCCAAAACACACTTTGTATCTCAGTAGATATTAAAGATATTCTGTACACAGTATCCTGTAGAATTTCATCAGGCAAACCTCCCGAGTCAAATTGAATCTGCTTCGTGATACCAGTCGACTCGTTATAAATTTGAAGCAATTTGTTCTACAGCAAAATTATGTATGAATGAATTGCTCCAGCTATCCTGTAGAATTTCATCAGGCAAACCTCCCGAGTGAAATTGAATCTGCTTCGTGATGCCAGTCGACTCGTTTCAATTTGAAGCAATTTGTTCTTCAGCAAAATTATGTATGAATGAATTGCTCCAGCCTCAAATTATCCCCATCGTAAACGCTTGATTAACTGTTCAGACATTGTTTTAACCTTTTAATACTCCAGTTGCATCTCACGTTCCAAAAGCAGGCTAGTTTGGTAAATACAAGAGTCTAAATTGCCCCGAGGTAGAAATGCACCTGCAAGTGTGAATGGTTGTCGGTCTACGTACAGTATGCCTTGTAATTATATGAAAACCAATTGAGGGTGTACCCTGCCTCTCACCAAAATCAGTTCAATAGAATAGGTAGTAATTCAAAAAAAAAAAGGAATGGATGCGTTGTCGGTCTACGTACAGTATGCCTTGTAATTATATGGAAACCAATTGAGGGTGTACCCTGCCTCTCACCAAAATCAGTTCAATAGAATGGGTAGTAATTCCAAAAAAAAAAAAAAAAAGGAATGGATGCACAAAGAGTGTGCAGAAAAGTGGTTAAGATTGAATGACTGAGTCTTATGTGTTGTGTTGTATTATTTTGTTGTATGCAGAAAAGTGGTTAAGATTGAATGACTGTCTGAGTCTTATGTGTTGTGTTGTATTATTTTGTTCTTATGTTATTTTGACTTCAAGATGGTGCCGCGAGAGTGGCTGCCTTTACACCAGCTCCTATACTTTGTGTTCTTCTACTTACTTCCTTTCATAACTTTGCTGCTGTAAATTGGGAGTTTCTCCATTGTGAGACGAATAAAGGTTTTCTTATTCTTATTTCATAATTTTATATCCCCTGTTCCATTCACGATGCAGGAAATGAGGATTTGCCAACATGAGTCCCACTGCTATCGCTGCAAGTTGCTCTTTATTTTATTTATTTATTTTTTTAATAGCTGGTACAGGTGTCGCAAAAGGCCCTATATATAGTGACAAAGGTGTTAAGTTGATGTCACTTGAGGCACAGTAGCCATTGCTCGTTTGTGCTACCCACACACTTCAGAATACAAACCCGCGTTCACAACTAAAATCCTGGTTTTAAAAAAAATAAATAAAACCACAGCATATTTTGCATTTTACTTTGACTTCATAAAAACTTTGCGAGGGCCGGTCATATTCTTATTATATTGTACTGAGAGGCTATGGGGGGGGGATTGTGATGTTTTGACCTTGGAGGCATATTTTTCCAGAAAGTTTTGGCCAAATTTGACTTTTGGGGCGCTTGACTTTATACATGTATTCACAATGGTTTATTCATTTTATTCAATGTTTCTGAGAAAATTCCTGTCATGGATTAAAGAAGATTTGTTGGAAATGTTGGCATCAGATGATCTGTTAATTTGCATGACGATCGAAGCCATCCTGATGCTGCATTCAGGCCCCCGAGGAACTTGAATCAGCCCCATTCCAGATGTTCCTCAGCGTTCGCCTTCTTTGTCTTCATTACCATTTGTCTCCTGATGGAGCAACAGATTGTTCATGTCCTTCGAGCTTGCTAACGACCTGCTGTGTGTTGCTTCTCCATGTTGGCGAGCACAATAGGGGACACTTTGATGGTGGTATCCTTGCTGAGCAATGATTAGTGATAAGAATTGAAACACCGCCGCTGACCTTAGTCGCCTCAATTAAGGTTGGCTTCCTGCATGTCTTCTCCTTTTGCTAGTGCTACAACCGACCCCCTGAGACGCAGCAGTATTTGTGTCACTGAGTTGCAGGAAGTAAACGAGAATTGTAACAACAGCGTTTACGATGACTGCTGCCACCCAGTCTGCGCATAACGATGACCAAGTAAACATTTTTTTCTGTGTGGCACTATTTGCTACTTGGCATTCAAACTTTTGCATACCGTATCGCTTCCTGCGGCGAGACTACTTATCCGTGTGCAGCCCCGCTGGAGAAACTCAGCGTGGTGTTTGGAATCGATTATTGAAGTCTTAATGTGGATGTCTGTCTTGCCTTGGCGCTGCAGGTCTAGTCCCAGTAATGGACTTCATTTGAAGGTGGTTCATTTCACACCTCTCTACTGCTATTAATGTTCACTGGACTGATCTGAGGCAGCTCACATCAAACGCCCAGGCAGTGGTGTATTTAGGTGTGATTAAAGGTGTCATTTGGGTTCTACCCCGTGGACACGCCATTCTGTTGCAGGCTCTCTGAACTCTCATCTTATTTTGCAGTTGGGTGTCCGTCAGATGTGTGAGCCCATTTATGTGCTCGTTAAAACCCTTTTTGTTTCCATCCCACATGTTTGTTCCTATTGTTGCAGACAGTAACGTGGGTTGGTATTTCCACCGGGAAGATTTCGCTGCTTGTCATCCCTTGTTTTTTTTTTTTCCCCCTCCCTTTTGAACTTTCTGAGGCTGTAATTCTTTGCTGCTGTTCTCTTGCCTGCATCTCCCACATCCCTGATCGCTGACCTAATGATCTTGTCTGTGTGTGCATTTAACAGGAGTTCGTATGCTGGATGGGGAGGTGACCGATGTGGTGGAGGCCCACTCTCTTGGTCTCAACCCCCAGTACATTCACATATACAGTGCCAGCTGGGGTCCAGAAGATGACGGCAAATCACTGGACGGCCCTGCTAAGCTGGCCAAGGAGGCTTTCCAGCAGGGAATCGCCAAGGTCAGTCAGACCGTCATCTTGGACTTGTGTCGTAGGTCTTTTTCGTATATTTTAAAGATGCCTAGAACAACAAGTACAGGACATGTTCACGTAATGGACTTCATTTGAAGGTGGTTCATTTCACACCTCTCTACTGCTATTAATGTTCACTGGACTGATCTGAGGCAGCTCACATCAAACGCCCAGGCAGTGGTGTATTTAGGTGTGATTAAAGGTGTCATTTGGGTTCTACCCCGTGGACACGCCATTCTGTTGCAGGCTCTCTGAACTCTCATCTTATTTTGCAGTTGGGTGTCCGTCAGATGTGTGAGCCCATTTATGTGCTCGTTAAAACCCTTTTTGTTTCCATCCCACATGTTTGTTCCTATTGTTGCAGACAGTAACGTGGGTTGGTATTTCCACCGGGAAGATTTCGCTGCTTGTCATCCCTTGTTTTTTTTTTTTCCCCCTCCCTTTTGAACTTTCTGAGGCTGTAATTCTTTGCTGCTGTTCTCTTGCCTGCATCTCCCACATCCCTGATCGCTGACCTAATGATCTTGTCTGTGTGTGCATTTAACAGGAGTTCGTATGCTGGATGGGGAGGTGACCGATGTGGTGGAGGCCCACTCTCTTGGTCTCAACCCCCAGTACATTCACATATACAGTGCCAGCTGGGGTCCAGAAGATGACGGCAAATCACTGGACGGCCCTGCTAAGCTGGCCAAGGAGGCTTTCCAGCAGGGAATCGCCAAGGTCAGTCAGACCGTCATCTTGGACTTGTGTCGTAGGTCTTTTTCGTATATTTTAAAGATGCCTAGAACAACAAGTACAGGACATGTTCACTAGGATATGCAGACAAGATATCTCAATATTGTGATATGAAACCAGGGTGACATCAGACCTGTGGGATCCAGTGTAATCCACGAATAAATTCAACAAGAAAACTAAGCTGGCAATGTATCGTGCTATGTGCTCACCTTACCCATTAAATATAAACACAAACAGCTTCAAATTCTTTGTATTTTTAAAATTGAGAGTCTTGTGTTCTTCCCGTTGTTTTTATCGTGTCGCGCAAAAGGGAGGACTCTGGCATTCGCTGACGTATTGTTGGTCTTCGTCAGTCCACTGACAGTGCCCCTGCAAGTTGCATCTAAGCAGGACATTCAATTTCTCTTCACTTGCTACAAAAAGAGAACCGTGCAATTAACTACACAGGAAATAATCCTTTTCAAACTGAACAACACCTTGACCAGTTGGGCATTATGCCCATATCCCGCCTTGTCCATACTCTCTGACCAGCCCTCGCAAAGTTTTTATGAAGTCAAAGTAAAATGCAAAATATGCTGTGCTTTTATTTATTTATTAATTTATTTATTTAAACCAGGATTTTAGTTGTGAACGCGCTATTGTATTCTGAAGTGTGTGGGTTGCACAAACGAGCAACGGCTATTGTGTCTCAAGTGACATCAACTTAACAACTTTGTCACTATATATAGGGCCTTTTGCGACACCTGTACCAGCTATTAAAAAAATAAATAAATAAAATAAAGAGCAACTTGCAGCGATAACAGTGGGACTCATGTTGGAAAATCCTCATTTTCTGCATCGTGAATGGAACAGGGGATATAAAATTATTGCAAAAAGGATGCACACTGTGGGCATGATTTTTACAAATGATATTTTTATCTGTATATAAGGCTGTATGCGTAATTTCCATGTGACCGTTTATTATTTTGTTTGTTTTCCAATTAGAGTATAAAAAGACCTCTTTTTCCCCCCCTTTGCTTCTCAAACAATTGATCCACACATTTTTGTCCTCCCGGTTGGACTGATGCCTCAGTCAGTCTTGTGTAAAACTCTGATAGCTAATCCAAAATATAGAAGCCAGACTTCTAACAAGAACCAGCCGGCGCTCCCATTATGCCTGTTCTTGCATCCCGCCACTGTCTTCCAATAAAATTATGAATAAACTCCCAGGTTCTGTTAATTACTTCCAAAACTCATTTATATTGTCAAGCCTTTCCATCGACCTCGCTTCTTGTTCCTGTTGTTCTGTTTTATTTCATTCTAGTTGAATTCTCTTGGTGTCACATTTTCATCTTTGTGTAGTCTACATATCCACTTTAACCTTTTGCTCAGTTTTGCTTAAGTGTCGATGAAGCGCTTTGTAACTGTGTTCTAAAGAGTGGTCGTGAATAATGAAGGTTTACTTAATTGTATAGTGTATCTAAACCATCTTTGAATACTTACTAATTCACCGCTTCCGAGAAAGACTTCAAATTCAACACGATTGCAGTTAGCACGGTGTTGCCCTCGACAACCATTTTGTCATAGGTCCCCTTGAAAAATGAATTGCCCATCTGTGCATTATATAGCCATGCTCTTAGTTCTTCAACAAGAGGGTGCCAAAAATGGTACAGAAGTGTTGCGTTTGTTCTTTCTGCAATTTTTGACTGGGCAAATACAACCAAATTGTATTCATGAATTGGCCCGAACTGCACTGCCTGCTGTAGCCTTGCAAACGAAAAGTAGAAGTTGTCAGTCGTCCTTTGACTAGTTCTTGAAGGTTAGGGTGGGTAGTGGGGGGTATTGTCTCGGGCTCATATATATATATATTTTTTTCTATTTTGTAAGAGCTGAAGGGTGCAGGCTATTTTCACTCATGAGAAATGAAGCAGACCTCAATGAGCAGCAGTCATCGATGCAGAACAACAGATGGATTCAAGCACTTCAGTCATTCAATTGGCATATAAATAAGCTAAACAACCCCGGTCGGCTCAAGTACAGAGAAAGAAAGGATCGTGTCGCAAAACACACAAGCTCATCGGTTTTGACAAGAGCAAACACAGTTTGAAAGGAATACGCACGCAAACCACACACGCGCACACACATATACGCGTTTGCTTCACTGTTTTTATTTATTCCTATGGCATTTATTCATTGCATTGTAACTTTGTTATTGTATTCAGTACATTCTTTGGTGGAATTTGAAGACTGCAAATTAGCTGGCGCGAGCTAGACTTGTTTTGTGCGTAACGTATTCCCAGGACAATTGCGAAGAATACACAACATTTAAGCTGCCCAGTATGTAACGAACATTTATTATCGGAGGCGACTGTTGTAAGCTTGCTTGGTCTTCTGCGGCAGTAAGGTCAGCATGAGCTAGAAGCATGCAATCAACTGAAGTTGACATTAAAGCCTGGTCCGACGAGGCTACTATTAAGGTTTCATTCATCAACAATGTTTTTAACACAGGTCTTACCTTTATTTTTTTCAGTATTTATTTCTTGGTTCGAATTGCCTGTCACCAGGGGGATGTTAACTTTTGTGCCGGGGGTTTTTCCTAGTCTCATCAAAATGCACTAAATCTAGAAATATAGATCTCCTGGAAAATTAAACAAAAATGTTCACAAGAAGCATTGGAGTTGTTATTGCAAATGGCTGTTTGTTCATTATTCTGTACAGATCTCAGTATTTTACTTGGGAAATATACAATAGGGAGAGCACTGCAAGTGCAGAATGAAGTTTGTAGCGATGGAATTGGAGTTGGGAGAGGCAAATATAATTTTGTTTCAGAAAAGAAAGCTATCGAGCCGATAATTTGGGGGAAGCCAGCAGCAGCATCAAATACATGTTTTGTTTGTTTTAACTGTGTGAATTGCGTTTATCCACTAATCCTGCGTAAAATTGCATTTAAAAAAACTGCCCTGGGAGAAGCCAGCCATGAACTCGAATCACCCTGAAGCAAATGGAATAGAAGTTGAAAGCCGTTTTGTCATAGGGGGTATGGCTTGACTCCCGACTGAGACTGGCTCAGAGTCATCGCTGAGATCATTCAGAAGCTCCAAGATTGCATTGCTGAACAGACAATATGTCATGACATTGTTTATTTTTGGAATTGAATAAATGCACACCCAAGCAGAAAAGCTATCCCCGCTGCCTCTCATTTTGCTTTACGCTCTGCTGGCACTCTGTGATGTGCTGGGTTGTTCCTGCCTTTCAGACACAGTATTTAAAGAGGCATAATCAACCATTGCAATTTGTCTCAGGTCTGATAAATCACAATGAGCATGCTAAACTCGTGTATTTGCATGCACTCCTCCCACCACGCATCAATACTGCTCATTTGGCATTCACAATCCTGGTTGCTCCCGGTTAGAAGATCATCAGCCTCCACATGTGTCTGTCTGCGTGGGCAATCAAGTTTATGCTTGTATTTACTTTGCATTTAGTAAATCAAACCCTTAGTGTCCAGGTTTCTGCTTCCGTTCTATTTTATGTCGTGGATAATATTCCAAAATGTCCACAGACTGCATTGTATTTTTTTTCCGCTTTTTTTTTAAGAGGGCTGTTACATTTCACTCAACCACTTGTCAGTGCTGCCATTATCCACTTCAGCCCTCTGAAATCATACCGTTTGGATTTTATTTGGCTGCACTGCACTAATCCTGTACTGGTTATTTTCAACCAGACTGTATTTCGCTTTCTTTTATCAGAAACGGAGGCAATAATGTGTTTCACAGTTGTCCAGCTGCTCGAGGGTTTTTCTGCGTGCAGGACACAGGTCATCGACTAATTTTCCCAACAATATCATTCCGTGTTTGATGTCTGAACTTGGGCCAAACAACATTGTATCGCTTTCTTGAATGTGATGGAGTTATGACATTGTTGTTTTGTTTTTTGTTTTTTGTCGTAGATTTCATTTCATTGAAAAGACAAAAAACTTCAATTACATTAATTTCGACAATAATGTCAAAATGTTGGGAATGGTTCTCAGTATTTTGCAGTGACTTTCGGCACCACTGGAAAGTATATTCTGTCCATCCATCCGTCCATTAGCCGAACCACCTATAATAACCATTATGATTGGAAACTACTTTTTTTGTCAAATGAGTAGCTCCCTGCTAGTGTCCATCACAACTGAGCATTGGTTATCTTTGTAAAGTTTGACTTTTTACAGCTCTTGTGTTGAATCTGAATCCTTTTAGATTATAGTCATAATGTTGTTGCCAGTCAATGGATGACTAAAACATGAACAGTTTTCATGTTACATTTGCATTGTGTCGAGAGTCAGAAACAATTTGAATCTGCTCAGTGGAATGCATCATGGCCCAGGGTCAATATGTCGCAATAATCATATGAACAGCTAGCCAGCAATTGTATGATAGCTCAGATCTTTAGAGTTCGGTATGAATTTGGTTTTTCTGGTAAATTGCCATTGTGTTAGAGATGAGTAGCTACGATTGGCTAAAAAGAAGGGAGACACACACACAAAAAAAAAATTCACAAAGGTGATTTCAAAGTTGTGCTGACAGCAGATGGCCCCCTTTCCCTCTGTTTTAATAATTTTAATAACTCTATCATGACCAAGCAGACCAATCAATGTGTGAAAGGGCAACACCACTCTGTGCCGTTAGAGTGGGACATTTCAAAAATTGATTTCGGAAAATAAAAAGCAACCAGTGTATGAGGGCAACAATCAAGATTTATGTGTTGCAGCTCAGACTGCAAATGCTACTTAGACAGCTCGGGCATTCCAGTAATAAGTCTCTGGAAATACGATACAAAATCAAATTCCTGGTGCGTCTTGAAATAATGCACTTTTTGAACTGACAAAGTACATAATTTGTTACTTCAGTCATATTCTTATGAGATATAAATCACCTCACGATGGTTTGACTGCTTTTAAAGTGCACACTTAATGAGATTGAACGGATGAAATACTCTTTGTGCTTTAGGCGACTGGAACAAAACAGCCTCTTGGCAGCTATCGTTTTAGCATTTATCTGGCCTCTAAATATTCAGCTTGATTAGATTTGGTAATTATTTTTTTTTCTTTTACGTTTTATCTTGTGTTTTAACGAGAAGATAAGAGCTGCGGATGTCCAACTCTGTTTCTGAAAGACAACATTACACTGACTAACAAGGCACTTGAGCAGTGGCACATAATCTGCTGTCTCTCTGTCGCTCATAATTACTGTTGTGCAGTCATTTGGAATTATGTGTTCATTTTTTTCTCGACCTCAGGGACGCGGTGGACTGGGCTCCATTTTTGTGTGGGCCTCGGGAAACGGCGGCAGAGAGAAGGACAACTGCAACTGCGATGGCTACACCAACAGCATCTACACGTTGTCCATCAGCAGCACCACACAATCTGGAAATGTGCCATGGTACAGCGAGCCTTGCTCGTCCACCCTCGCGACCACCTTCAGCTCTGGAAACCCTGGGGAAAAACAGATCGTAGGTGTACACAAATATATACACTCATTGAAAGTGTCTGGTTTGTGCTAGAATGACAGGAACAAAAAAAAAAAAACAAACAAACTATGATGTCAAAATGATGCATTGTGTTTCAAGTCGTAAGCTTACACATCCAAAATCAATCCATGTTCAACATTGACTCGCATTAAGGGAATCTCTCTGCTGTCAAAATAGGAGTGACTGATGTGTAACACACAGGAAGCAAAGCAACTGAGAAAGCGCTACATGCCCCCTTGGAGCTACTTGTCAAGAAACACTTGCCTCAGGGACAAGGAACAGATAACTGACAAAGCTCTCGAAGGAGAGGCATGCTGCAAGCAGCCAAAAACAAATACATAGGTGTCCTCTTTTGTTTCTTATTGGATTGGTCAGCGTTTCTCTTCGCCAGAGATCACAACATCTTTTGTTCTTCACAAATGACAGTTAGTAGTACATGCAGCAATTTAGTTTATCTGACATCCCCTCAAAGTTTATCCTCGTCTGATATTTTCACACTGAGGATGAACAAAATGTAGCTGTGACAATGGCTCGAAAACATGATTCTAGTCAGCATTAGCAGTACAAAGAATGGCTGGATGGATACAAAATGTGTTTGATCAATCTTTTTTTTTTCTTATAGGAGAAATATGCACTTCCTTTGCAATTTGAAACAGTTACCTGGTGTCTTAAGGGTCAAAGTAGCAAAATTGAAGCAAACAACATTAAGCTCACTCCTTTATCTCTAACCATTTTCAAGCTTCAGTACATCCTCATGAAATCGTGACATTAACCCTTTCATGCACCCTGTAACCTGATAACATGATAAACTGTGCACTGTAGTCACTGCTGTCCCTGAAAGAAATTCTGGCATCGAAATGGTTAATAGCATGTCTATGACATCTTAAATGTTCTGTAAAATGCTTTTTTTTACAACTGCATCTGTTGTGAAAGCACAAAATAAATCAGGATGTATTGTACTGCTTTGTATATCCTTGTCAACATAATATAAGGATCAAGAGCTAATGTATATCATAGAAATATACTGTCAGAGATTTTCTCGGACAAAGTTAAAGAAATGACTCGGCACACAGGAAAATTGTCTTCAATATCGGCCTGAGCGGATCTCTGAGAGCGAACGACGGTTTAGTTGCTCCGCGATCACACTCTCCAGCTCCCTTCCCGCCAATTCCGACTTTTATTGTAACATACAAGGAAAACACTGCCCCCGACATTTGCATACCGCACCCCCGGTCCGGCCCCTCGGTGGTGATTGGTTACCTGTTTTTTAAACTTGAACCACCAGTACGTTGGCGCCTTTTCTGTCTGGTCTACATCGAATTAACATGTTGCAGACTTTGCGGACGACAAATGTCGCCTGGGCGCGACGGGTGTTCTCAACTCGTCTTTTGTTGTTCAACCGCTGTTCCCAAATTATTCATTCCCCTTTTGTGACCGAGTTTCGCCCCCTCCCCTGTGATTGCCCACCTGCATTGACGTGCTAATTGTGGACTTCAACAGCTCTCCGGCCAGGTGGCCGGCGCCTATGTGCACAGGCATTTGGAGGTGCTGGATACGCACCCAAACGTTTAGATGTGCCCAAATTAAATGAAACTTTAAACATGATACAATTTTGCTCATAGATTCCTCTAACATATACATATACAGTACCAACATAACAAATGTGATTGGGTATGCAATTATCCAGAAAGTCCTTGAGCGCTTTAAAGTGTCTGGTGCTGTGGGATATTGGTCAACGACAATTGTTCAAGTATGTAGAGAGCTAGTTCCACAGGGGTGTGCAAAAATGCAAAGAGCTACTATAAATTTGAGTGACTGTTTAGGGATTCATGGCAATAGGGAAGAAGCTATTTGAATGTCTGCTGGTTTTGATGCGCATGGTTTGGTCGCGGGAGTAGCTGGGGGGTGGGGGTGGGGGGTCCAGTAGGCTTTTCCTTGCCCTTGTATTGGTTCTATCGATGTGCAAGTTCTCGAGAGCGGGTAGAGCGGTACCAATGATTTTTTTCGCAGTCCTAACTCTCAGTTGCAGTCGGATTTCATCCTTTTGTGTGGCGGCCCCAAACCAGACTGTCATAGAGAAACACAGGACCGATTCGATGACTGCTCTGTAGAACTGTCTCAGCAGCTCATCTGGCAGGCCATGTTTCCTCTTGCAGCCTCAGGAATTACATCCTCTGCTGGGCCATTTTCAGGATGGAGTTGATGTGTCTCCCACTGCAGGTCCTGGGAGACTGTGATTCCTAGGAACTTGAAGTTCTCAACAGTTGACACAGGGCAGTTGGGTAGTGTGAGGAGCAGCTCTGGCAAGCTGCAGGTCGTGTTGGCTACACCAGAGCCATTCTTGTCGGTACGCAGACTCATCAGCGTCTTTGATGAGGCCTATGACTGTGATGTCGTCTCTGTTGACATGCAGTTGTTCGTGTAGAGGGAGAAGAGCAGTGGCGAGAGGACGCATCCTTGGGGGACCCCAGTGTTGATGATGCGTGTTGATCATGCCCTAACCTTTTGAAAAACTGAGGATGTGAACCTCTTTGTCACGTTTATCTACGACCAAATAAGTCACTTCCATTCTTGAATTGAATGGCATAATGACTGAATAAATTTACCGGGACATGCAGTTAGTCACATACTTAAATTCTGAAACTTGGTACTGTACCAGTCAAAGATTTGGACACAGTTTCTCATTAAATGAGTGATGTAACCGGGGATAAAGCTGCCTTCTATGTGCGCTGGAAAACTTGAAAACCGCAAAGAAGCTAAATCTAGTCTTTCTTTTTTTTTTTTTTTTTTAATTAGAGTATATCGTTCTCATGTAAAATTTGCTTTCATGGTCTCTAGTTCTATGGCGCCATTGCTTGACACATAGGACTGAAAAGGAAGGTGACTCTTCCGTTTTCTTTCCTGTTGCTCATTTTGCTCGTGACAGGATCTTCTTTGGTTTCCTGGCCCTCAGTGTCGAACACTCAACATCTTTCACTGTGAATTTCCATCACACTTAAGTGGAATACTCGATGTGTAAAATTGAATGTGTCTCTCCATTTCCACATCTCTCTCGAAGGTGACAACAGACCTCAGGCAAAAGTGCACCGATTCGCATACAGGAACGTCAGCTTCAGCACCACTCGCTGCTGGGATTATTGCTCTGGCGCTGGAGGCCAAGTGAGTTGAATCATTCTTCTACAACCATCGAGCTTGCCCTGTTTCCAATCAAATGTTGTCTAATCTTATTTAGTATGCGGCACTGCAAGCTCAGAGGTAAGTGTGAATATTAGTTTGCACACCGAGCCTGCCAAAATCCCAGCCCAGTTTATCCCCCAGCAAACTGATCTTTTTAGAATCACTTAATTAGCCAGACAAATTAGACTTTATCCCACACAGGCATCAGAATAGCTTTCAGCCGTCAGTGACATCTTCAACTAGAGAGTAGTCCCCCCATCCCCCGTTGTTTTTCATGCAGGTTTCCAAATTACTGTCAGCAATTTTAATGTGTTCCATCACGGTGCTTGTCTTATGTCATACCTTGTGCATGTTAAGTTTCCTTATCTCCATAATCTCCATAATGCTTGTAAGTCTCATTCTAGCAATTTGCTGGCATGATTTTAGCTTTAACCCTGAAAAAACTCACAAAGCTGTTTTAGTGCAGGAGCAGGCAGAAATGGCAATATGGAAAAAATAAAATGAAGCTCTTTTCACTGTGTGCTTCTTTGAGCATTCTTGTCAGGGCAAAAAAATACAAAACAGATATTTAAACCTTCAAGGATTATTGCCGAATTAACAATGGAGTGCACTTCTGTTACGCTTTATAATCTTGCTCATCCAATAAATGTTACAGTTGTACATTCCAACTGTAATTGTGCGGTCAGCCTAAATTGCGATTCAACAATTTATCATCTTCTAATATTAAGAAGGGTCTGTGCAGGAAAAAGCATCTGACATTTTTCTGTGTTCTGCCACTCACTGACCTTATTCAAACTTAAATCCGTTTTTGTTCTGAAGGCAGACCAATAATCATATCAACGTCAAAGTATATCCGACCTAAGCGGTGGGTCTCGTGAAAGATCACATCCAGCATGTTTCCCTTGACATGAGTAACATCTGATCGATGATGTTTATGGGAGCTGGGTTCAAAGGCCATGCCTGTAATTTGTATTTGTCAGTGCTTTACGAGAAGACATTTTTCAAACTCTGATCTCCTTGCGGGCACAACAGGCTGTCATCTGTGACAGCGCTCTATTTTATCACGTTGTAATCTCATCTCTAAATTTGCCCGACATGACAGGTCGATCCATTTGAAAGGAAGTATTGTCTTTCTTCTGTTCCATTACTCCATCATTCAGCTCTGCACTTCTTGTGGAGATGATATTGAAATAATGGGAGGCTCTTGTCCATCAAAAGCACACTGTCCTATTTGACAGTATTTCCGACAGTTGTTAGCTTTACAGTAAGTCAAAGCATTGCTCCTGATGGGCCTTTTCATTCAACTTCTTTGTTGTATGGAACATTTAAAACCGCACTGTGAAACAGCATAGTTGTCATAGTTAAATGACATGGTGCTCAGGCCCTTGTCTTGACCTTGTTAGAGTATTCTACAAACATTCTGCCTCTCCATTGTAACGTGCTAAATTATATTTCAGCAAAGGGCGGCAGACTTCTCAGGGTTTTTCACATCCCTTCGCTTCCTTTCTTTTGCTATACAGTTAGAGGTCAGTGAAGCCTGACAGCTCATAATATATGACAGGGACTAAATTACTCCTTCTACTCTTGTGCGGCATGAAGATTAAGTGGTCTCTTTCCCCACATCCTGGCAGTACGAACCTGACCTGGAGGGACATGCAGCACCTGGTGGTGAGAACAGCCCATCCCAAACATCTCAGCGCAGGAGACTGGAAGACCAATGGAGTTGGACGCCGAGGTAGTACTGACTGCACTTGCTTGTGTACTATTAGCACTGTTCATTCAGTATCAAAAGGACCTCCTTCTGTTTTTACAAATCTCACTTAAATGTTGGATGCGCGTGATTGGTCAGTGTGTCCGCCATTCTGGACGTGACATGTCCATCTGTGTCATGATGCATTTAAATTAGAGGTGTCAAATTATCGCGTTAATTGCGATTAATTAATGCCAGTCATATTTCATGCGTTATGTTTTTGACCGCATTAATCTAAATTTTAATCTCTAACTTTATTGTTTCTGTAGTCGGTTGCCTTTTTCTAATATCCCTTTTTATGTGTTGACTTCCTGTGTTCGAGTTGTTGAAACTGTCAATTTCAGCCTGAAATGGACATTGATTGGCTGTCATGATGTTTATGCTTGTTTAGCATAAGCTGACTGGCTTCCGTTTGGCGGGCTAAGTAAGCAGTGGTGAGGAGAGGAGAGGTGAAAATGGAGGAGCATGTGAGAGTTCTCGGCACAATGAATGGACAATTTACATTCCAAAAACGCCCTGACGGCACTATGGATAAAGGTAGAGTGTTGTGCCTAATTTGCAAGAAGGAGTTTGCTTACCACCGAAGCAGCTCAAGTTTAGCCTCCTACATCAATGCAAAGTCACGAGTGCAGCCACGACTAACGTTAGCACAGAAAGTGTTACCATTAGAGCAGGGGTCCGGAACCTATGGCTGGCGAGCCATATATGGCTCTTTTGATGATTGCATCTGGCTCGCAGATAAAACAAAATATTTTCGCTTGTTTAATGCATCCATCGATCGATTTTTCACTGCTCATTTCCTGTCCGGGCTGCAGTTGGCTCCAGGAGCAATTTTGATTGGATGATACTGGCCGATGTTGCCGTTACTGTGGAAACAGGTAAACGCCCCTTTTGAATCGGCCTGCTCGGTCATTAGCTCAAAGCTAATCCTTCGACGAATAAGATGGCGAAAAGAAAAAAGATAACAAGTATGGTACACTTCAGGACGAATGGACCGAAGAATTCGCCTTTGTGGAGAGAACAGGTTCTGCAGTGTGTCTAATTTACAATGACAAAATACCATCGATGAAACGCTTAGAATGCAAAGCGGCACTTTGACACGCCCCATCCTACGTTCGCATCAAAATACTCTGCGAGAGACAGCAGAACGGAAGCGTGCAAGCTAATGAGCAGGGTGCAAGCTAGCCAGCAGCAACTTCGCATATGGACCCGGCAAGCTGACTTTCATTCCGATAGTTTTGCTGGATTTCTAGCAATCGTGAGGAACGGAAAACCATTCACATTAATGGTGAGTATTCTCACAAAATTACTTTAAAGAATACATTCAGAGACTTTTTATCCTGACATTTTATTGAAATCACTTTTAAAATACAGTTTATATATATATATATATATATATATGGCTCTCACTGAAATACATTTCTAAATATTTTGGTTTTATGACTCTCTTAGTCAAAAAGGTTCTCGAACCCTGGTCTATGTCCTGCGATTGGCTGTCTACTACCACTGTTCTTGCGCGAAACAACTTGGGATGGCTTCCAGCTAACCCTTGGATGAGCAGTATAGAAAACAAATGGATTATCACAAAAGCGAACCAATTCCTTGTTGGTGTGTAAACTCCAATTCCCTTACTTTATTGGCTCAGCACATCCACATTGTTTACCCAACAGTCTCAGCCAATCAGTGACCTGGAAGTAATGCCAACAATGTTTTCTTCCCTTAGTGAGTCACTCATACGGATATGGGCTCCTGGATGCTGGAGCAATGGTGACTTTAGCGCAAAACTGGACCAGAGTGGGGCCACAGCACCAGTGTGTTCACACAATGCTCGCAGAACCAAGGTGAGGGTTGAACACATCAGTCACCATATTGCCCCTAAGGAGTGACACGTTTATTTGCGTAGACACGCACCATTAAGTTGTCTTGTCAAATCTGCAGAGACATCGGGAGCAGGCTGATGTTCAGAAAGAGCGTCGATGCCTGCTGGGGACGGCCTGACTACGTCAGCTCTCTGGAACACGTTCAGGCTCGTCTCACTCTCCTCCACAACCAGAGAGGCAAGCTGGCGATCCATCTCATCAGTCCTCTGGGCACACGCTCTACCCTCTTGTTCCCCAGGTATACAACGAAACACTCTGCACACTGGACAGTCTGGCTTTTTTTCACTTTGAATTTCACACGCGACTTTCAACAAAGCATGATATGTTTTTGAGCGAAAATATGTTGTGGCAGAACTGGTTAATGTGCAAAAAATGTTTAACGTTGACAGTAACTATTTGGAAGCTGTGAAAAGTTACCTGCAAAATATTGGAAATATTACAAAACGTTCCTCATGACATGATGTTAATTGAGGGACAGTGAAACTCCTCTACAACGAAATCATGTTTGCAGCAAGAAATTTTTCACAACAGGGTTTTTTTCACTGAAGCAATTTTGATCTCAGATGTAAACACACACACACACACACACACACACACACACACACACACACACACACACACACACACACACACAAACGTATGTGTACTCATTATTTTTATTCCAGTAGTGCATAAGTATGAGCATACACTTATTTGACACTTCATATAGTCAGTGTAGAAAGAAAAAAAGGGAAAGAAATTGCGAAATTTATGATCAGCATTCACTTTCACTTACATCAATTTTATTTTGCTTCCTCCGTCTTTCATTTTGATCACTTTTATCCTCTCTTCCAGCGTCAGAGCTCTTCTTGTCTGAGCTGCTTGACATCCAAAGGTCCGTTTTGGAGCATTTTAGCAATGCAATGTTCCTGCTGCGTCTGAAACTAACAATAACAAATACTTCCTGGACTACTGCGCATGTGTAAACCAGTGTGGTGGTTGCAGTTGCCGTTTCCGAACGAAGCAGTTGAAGTCGCTGTTGGATTAGACTTCGTTGTAGTGAAAAAGATTTCGTATAACGCAACAGGGTTTTTTTTCGTTGTATGGGGGGCAGGAAAGTGGGAATAGTGTTAATGCATGAAGATTTCTTCACACTAGGAGGTATTTTCGCCCATGTAGGTTTCGTTGTAGAGGGGTTTCACTGTATAAACATATTTGGTTTGAAGTATTTCAGTTTATTCCTATTCAGTTGCTCTCTATATCTCTCTCCAAAACATGCTTTTAATTCTGATTCAGAGAAAGAAATACCAAGTGTTATCGTTATTTTTACAGGCCAAATGACTTCTCCACTGAGGGATTCAATGACTGGGCCTTCATGACCACCCACTCATGGGATGAGGATCCTCAAGGGGAATGGACCTTGGAAATTGAAAATGTTGCAGCTACTAGCCGTGACTACGGTAACCTAATTGGCTTACATTATTTGTCACTTGCATCACGTCACACATCCATCCACAAGACATTTTTTGTAAACTTTTTTAAACAACCCTATTAGACTATTAGACACTATTTAGAGGTACTGACAATTAAGCGAAGGCTCGTTTCCGTTGCTGGGTCCTCTCGTTGGAATGAGCTGCCACTGAACATTATGTGCATGCTCCCTCGCTGCCCATCTTTAAAACTTTGTTGTTGTCATATTACATACATTATATGAGATATATGGAAGATAATTTAGGATGATGGGACCGTCCCGTGTTTTTCTTCTGGTCCGAGGGGGATTGCTTCCACCATGACTCAAATGGCCAAAGGGCAAAATAAATCATTTTGTCTGAATTTACAACAAAACTAAATAGGCTATTGGTCAGCACATACGCCACCTTTCCACAAAGTTTTATTGAGCAAAATGTTTGCATCATCCTGATAGCTTACTCACTGCCTAACATTCATCAAAATAATGCCTGTGCCCTTTTAGCCTTGAAGTAGCAGATATAGTACAAGTCTCTCAGCCACACATCACTAGAATAGAGGATAAAGCGAGAGGAATTCTAGGTCAGGGGTAAAAGTATAAAGATACGGTAAGCCTCTTTCTTTAGGTTGGACTCCTATCCGTATTGAATGAAACATATATCTACTGACTGACCTTTGCTGTCCCATATAATGGAAAGCAGAAGATTTTTTTTCCCCCTCCCTCATTGAGCATTGTTGTCCTGTTTTTCCATTTATTTTGTCAACTCTCTGTTTGTCACAGTCCTCTCCCCCACCGAGCTCACCAGCTCCCATTTTTGTAAGTGGAAATAAAGACTGTGCCTATCTTTTGGCGTCAGGCAATGACAACCACAGCGGTGTTATATTATGCCAACATGCTGTCATCTTCCCAGCTGGGATATTGTCTGTGCAAGGGCAGATGGAGGCTCATTTTCTATAACGCTGCATAACCTTTTTCATCCTCCTTCTGTCCTGCAGCATTACAAAAATAAAGAATAAGATAGTGAGGCACTGAGATTTGAAAGAGAAACGTGAGATTAGATTTGTGTGGTTGCCCGAATTATTACTGAGAACACACATTCAAATGTAAAAATGAAAATTTGCCAATTTTGCCACTTGCCCAGAAATGTGATCACCACCAGTTGGAGAAATGCTCATCCGCCAAAGCAACCTTTTTAAAATGGTTTCTTTTCAGCGGAAACAATACACCAATATCACCAGTATGCCGCAGTTCATTTGATATGACTCTGTGTCTAATGTTTTGGGTACTTTATTTCACTGCGCAATTGGTGCAAACACCTCTCGTTATGATTTATACAGACAGCCTTGCAAACTGTGAAAATGAATCTTTTCTAAATGAAGCGGCGTCAGTCAAACCGCCCGGGCATTTGCTACGGCTCTGGGACGAGCGCTCATTAGGTTGTGGCAGGAAACTACGGTGCTGTGTGTACTCAGAGCGCCTGCTGTCTGCCTGTGCCGTCTGCAGTATTATGGTGACTTGACTTGCGACACATTCAGCATTTACTTCCTCCCCCGTGTCTTCATGACACATTTCACCGTGTATTTAATTCAAAAATGACACTGACTAAAAAGAGAGCCCATCACCATGCTGCCTTGTTTGTTTACACAGAATTTATCAACACCAGCAATATTCCACTCCAGCGTGTGAAATGATGCTTGATGTTTGTCATTCATTTTAAATGAATTGATTTACACGCACATCCATTTGGTAGCGTTCCGACAGCCCGAATAGCCTCGGTGCCGTTTTTACTCAGAGCGGCTGGGCGTGACAGCAATGTGATTTTTCTGGCTTTAAAAACAGCTGAGAGTAGCTGCAGTTATGTTCAGAATAATAGGATGAAATAATGGGTGAGTAAAGCTCAAAATCCTTGTTATGGTTTTTATGTCCGCACACTGAAATTCAGAGGCAACACTGCACACTATTCCAAGTCAAAATGATGAACAGAAATGTGTTGTGTTTTTCCTTTGTAGAAAATGTCCAAAAAATAGCAATCTGCGTTTCTATCTTCATAAACTCATTTACTTTGTAAACTAAAAAATAAACTGTCAAGACTTTGCTTTCCTGTGACTGACTTAATATGTACAACCAAACAGACCAGTAAGCTACAGTAGCTGCATCTTGTTTCCACACCAACCCGATGTTAATGTTATGCGCTGGCAGAACCTTAATCCAGTCAAATCAATCAATCCAACTGTTTGTTTATGAGGTGAAACCAAGACATCTAGAGTAAAGTACCATATTTTCCACAGTATAAGGCGCTTCCTAGTATAAGGCGCACCTTCAAAAAATTGCCTATTTTCGAATTGTTTGCCTTTGTAGGGCGTGCCACATTATAAGACGCATAGAATAGAAGCTACAATCGTGGCTGCGGTTACGGAATGCATCCATTAGATGGTGATACTCTAAAGGGAATAAAATACAATCCAGCTTTATTTATATCAAGTTTTCACAACTGCTGTAGCTAGCTGTAACAAAGCTCTTTACCGAACATTTAAAATACTACGTCCAAGGAATCAGAATATTGATCCATATATATATATATATATATATATATATATATATATATATATATATGGTGCATTGGATTATAAGGCGCGTTTGAGGAAATTGAATGCTTTTAGGTGTGCCTTAAAGTGCAGAAAATACGGTACTCCAATTTTCTGAGACTGGAACACCAGTTCACAGGTGCCAGACGTACTTGGACTCCATGCAACACAGGTATGAAGCAATAAGAAACATTTACCGTCTAAATGTTTGGCTTTTTAAAGAAAAAGGCTGACACTGCTTTTCCCAAACCTTTCCTTTACTTCACTTTCTTTGACTGAGTACAAGTTGCAGTGTTCCCAATGCGTTTGTGTGTATTGAAATATCACCGTAATACTGTTAACACAACGACTAGTTTCCTCTCCAAGACATTTTCAAAGTTTCTCATCCGTATCCCCCCTCAACCTCCTGTTGGTCTGTCCATCTCTTTCAGGAGTGCTGAGTCAGTTCACTCTCACTCTGTGGGGGACAGGCTACAACGTGGTCAGCCCTTTGTTGTCGGACTTCCCTCGGCCTTCCAACAACAGCTGCAAGACGTTTGATGCCCAGCAGATCTGCATCGGTGAGATGTTTTACACACAGGCCATCAGTTGTCCCGGAGCATGCTCTTTTATGTTCCAACAAACTAAAATAATGTGTTATTCATTGTAAAATGATGACATATATTTCAGTTTTTCCTGACGACATTGCATGTTTGCATAATGGCATAATTTGTACTTCCTCCATTAAAGGCCATTAGAAACGAAAGGCTTGCGCGAGTTTGAATCACAAACTAGGGATTGACAGCAGACAGGAAACAAATCAGAAAACTTTAGACTTGGCCCTGATTTACTAAAGGTTTGCCTTGTGTGTGTGAACGCAAACGAGTCAAACAGACGTCTGTCTTTTTTCAGCTGCCTTCAATGGGCAACATTGAGTTGTAGAACTTTTCTGCTTTGTCTCTGCTTCAAGGCGGCAAAGTGCCACTCAATCAAATTACATATTCCCTTAGAACAGTTCTGCTGCCTGTCCGGACTCTCCCATAGAGATAAAGTGAGAAGCTTGGTCATCCGGGAGGGGCTCAGAGTCGAGCCGCTTCTCCTCCACGTCGAGAGGAGCCAGATGAGGTGGCTCGGGCATCTGATTAGGATGCCTCCTGAACGCCTTCCTGGTGAGGTGCATGTCCCACCGGCAGGAGGCCCCGGGGACAACCCAGGACACGCTGGAGAGACTATGTCACCCAGCTGGCCTGGGAACGCCTTGGGATCCCCCGGAAAGAGCTACAAGAAGTGGCTAGGGAGAGGGAAGTCTGGGCTTCTCTGCTAAAGCTGCTGCCCCCGCGACCCGACCAGATATGCAGTAGAAAATGGATGCATGGCAGTTCTGCTGCCCAGTCTTTCCATATGATTTTGCTGCTAGATTTACCGACTTTTCAGACACAAGTAAGGATTTATTTTCTCCAAAGAAGCACCAAAACCGAAAAGAGTGTTGTTGTGGCAGTGGCAATTATATCGTGTGTGAGATTTTTTTTCTCCCCGCTGTCTCCTCTATTGAGTGACAGAGAGCTACAGATGACGTGTTGTCAGCTTTGGCTGTGTTCTCCGAGATGAAATACATCTCTGGTGCCAATAGAGCCACAGCAACCATGATGACGGTGTCGAGATAGCGACGGCTAATTTGAGTCATTCTCAAATTACCCGTCATTTTATCTAAACGCCATCGATGAAACATTTGCATGTTCTTGTTTTTGTCTTGCTCCTCCCACAGAATGCAGCCCAGGCTTCTCCCTCTTCCTCCAAGGCTGCGTCAAGTTATGCCCTCCCGGTTTTACGTCGGGGCCGCAGCTCCTTAATCTCTCTCTGGAGAACTGGGTGGACTTGTCTTCAGTACAAGCCTGCCTGCCCTGTCATCCCACCTGTCTCACCTGCTCTGCCACGGGGCCCGCAGACTGTCTATCCTGCCCGCTTCACAGCCGCCTGGTCCTCACCTCCTGTTCGCACCAGAACCAGGTCCAGCGCAAATCTCCTCTTGCTGGCGGAGAGCCCAGACGAGAGGATCCAGCGACGGACGATGATAAAAGCGGCGGAGGCGGGGAATCTCCTGACCCGCACTCGTCTTCTCAGCTTCCCGCCGTCGTGGCTGTGCTCAGCTGTGCCTTTATCCTGGTGGCCTTTGCGGGAGTTTTTCTCACACTGCAGCTGCGCTCGGGTGGCTGGAGAGCCAAATTGCCCGACAGACGAGTGGACTTTGGTTTTGGCCTGGGCCGAGGACAGAAGAGGAAGGCTCGCATATGCTACAAAGGGATCCCCACCGTGTGGGGGGATGAGGACATGACCGCCTACGAGTCTGAATCAGACAGTGAGGAAGTTGAGGGTCGGAGCGAAAGGACAGCTTTCATCAAGACGCAGAGTGTTATCTAGTCGACGCCTGGACTTCCTGTTACAGGGTTCCTCGGTTCACGGCAGAATTCCGCAATCTGAATTTGTAAGTAAAATCATGTCGTAGTTGATCACTAATCTATGCTGATCTGGTCAGAAGTACAGTTTGAAAAAGACTTTGAGGCCAAAAGTACAGGGTGTTCCTAAACATATGACATCAATTGAAATATGCAAATCTAATTAAATCAAGGGTTCTTCGTGCGCTTGCATGAGTTGTCTCCATGCTTCGTCCTGCTTTCCCAAAACAAGTACGTTAGGTCAACTCAACTCAAAACTCATATAACAGTGGGAATCTGCAGAGGTGGGCACGTCAGTCTGTCAGTCATCCTTCCAACATTATTTCAGGCTGGCCCACTGCGTCCATCAGTGGCGGCGAGAGTCACTCTGTGTCAAAAACGTGTTTACTCCGACGCACACAGGCGCAACCGAAGCAGACTTGAATAATAATAAATAAATAAATTGGTGTTGTTTTTACTTTCGGACCTGCAGTTACTTTTTCCCATATTGTTTTAATTTCACCAATTGTCACGCTGCATGTGAAATAGTAGGTCCTTGACACGGATTGGCAGTCGACTGGGCTGCCCTGAAATAATGATGGAAGGGTGACTGACAGACTGACATGCCATCCTCTGCAAATCTGAGTGTGTGTCTGAAACTAACAATTACTGTTTGTCAATTGTAGATTCATCTGTCCATCATTATTTTGTTGATTAATCAATGAATCCAATTTTTTTTAAATACTTAAATTTCCATCCTCTTATTCAAAAACAGAAGTATATATATCTATATATATCTATATATATATAGATATATATATCTGCAGTTGCCAACTGTATTGAGCAGCACAGTATCTATATATATATATAGAGAGAGAGAGAGAGAGAGAGAGAGAGAGAGAGAGAGAGAGAGAGAGAGAAATTGACAGGGCAAAAAAAGAACAATTTTATATACTATATATATATACACACACACACACACACACACGTGTGTGTGTGTGTGTGTGTGTAGATAGATACATATCGATATTGATCGATTTTTTTTTTTTTTTTTTAATGATGTGGTAACTGGTTGAAACTGTCACATATAAAATGGACAAAAATGTTGATCGGTGTTTTCCAAAGTAAAAGTATTCAACACAATGATAATCACTATGTTTTGAAAGAGGGCTAAAGAAATGGAAAATATTTACTGTTGAGAGACTGCAATTCTGAATATTTGGTCACTTAAGAGATTTTAATGTCACACCAGAATAGTCTCCTGCGTGCAGCACCTGCTACGGTGCACATCTGAATGTCCTGCGTGCTGCATTGCTTGATTGTGCTCGAGCTTATTCTCACACAAAAATGCCTTTTCCTTCATTGTCAATGTCACATTTCACCCTGAAAAAGTGAAAGTAAAAGAAATTATTTTGAAACTTAAACATTAAGTTAAACATTCAACTTTTTTTTTGTCGTTATAAGTTGAGTTATAATTGGCTATGTTGATGTATGGAGAATAAAAAAAACGGAACACCCTGTATGATACAATCAAGTGGGAACTGCTCGTGCCTTTCTTGTGCTGCGTGACAACATGTTCTTATGCCACCGTGCAAACTGATTTGGTCATATCCTCAAAAACATGCTTTGTCAAGAACCGAGGACCCCCGTAACAGTTTCAGACCCCAACTCAATACCAACTCCTGATCAAATTCGGGGGGAATAAAACGTAGGCCTTCTTGTCCCACCAAATACATCACATTTTTTTCATTGTGTATTTATTAACATTTGTAATTGTATGACTTGTTTAAATATGAAATCACCTCTCCATATAATGGTGAGGTGAATTATGGAGACGTGTCAAACTCAAGACCTGCGGGCCGGATCTGAAGCTTCCATGTCGTCTTAGGTGGCCGGCAAAAGCTTGCCGCAATTTTTTGATCGATGACGATCGATGTTCTTGCACAGAACATGTTAGGTAAGGCACAAGAAATGTAACTGCCTCGCGCTCTAGCCAAAGATTCGTCTGTAAACACGGGCCATGCAGATCATCTTCTGGTTAGTGGATGTCATGGCTTGTTAATATTAAAAATGATTTCATGTGTTCTAGTCAGAGAAAAAAATGTGACACCCCTGGTCGAGCCACCATTTAATTAAACAGAACAGCCACCTCGAACAAAGACGGAGAATGGCTGGAGGCTTAACCGAGGAAGCAAAAACATTTTCTCTATGTTTGCCGAGTGCTTTATCATAGAGATATTTTTGCTCTTGATTTCCAGCCTGAAGCGATGTTGATTTTATTTACAGAAAATCTCAGTGAAGGAGAGGACTCCTCAACAAATAGTTGTTTTTGCTTCAGAAGTAATATGACTATTGGGGCCACACTGAAAAGAAAAAAGGTCACAATACAAGAAAAAAAAAAGTCCATTCATTCATTCCGTTCCATACCGCATATCCCCGCCAAGGTCACGGGTGAGCTGGAGCCTATTCTAGTGTAAACCCTGGACTTGGCGCAGGGCACACCTTGACAAGCAACTAATCACATTACATTCACACCTACAAACAGTTGAGAGCTTTCGATGTAACTAACATGAAGGCTTTGAGAATGTGGAAGAGTGCCGTAGAGAAACATGCCGATGCCACACAGCCAGTCTGACTTGACATTCGAACCCGAACCTCAGAAGTGGCTCCCATGCAGCACCTCGCATAAAACCATCCATCCATTTTCTAATCCGTTTATCCTCACGAGGGTCGCGGGGGTTGCTGGAGCCCATCTCAGCTGTCTTTGGCAGTAGTCGGGGTACACCCTGAACCGAGTGCCAGCCAATCGCAGGGCACACATAGTCAAACGTGCATTCGCGCTCACACTCACACCTTTTAATTTACAATTTAGAGCGTTCCATTAAAGCTGCCGTGCATGTTTTTGGAATGTGGGAGGATACCGGAGTACCCGAAGAAAACCCACGCAGGCACGGGCTGAACATCCAAACACCATACATCAAAGCCAAAGCCGGAATCAAACCCTGCACCTCTGCGCTGTGAGGGCGACGTGCTAACCAGTTGACTACCATGCCGCCCTCTGCCGTTCTCATAAAACGTTCTCTTGAAATCTATAAAAAAACGTTCTTATTGTTTTTCCCTGAATTAATTGTGGGGGGGTTTTCAGTTACAGTCTGGCCCTAACTTCTTCGTACAGCGGAGAGGACATTGACTTAATCAGATTACACTGATTAAAATAAAATGAAGTCTTTTTATGTTATTATATTTTTATGTTTGTTTAATTTTTTTTGAATTTACCTTGCAGTGGATAATATTGTGGAGATCAATTTCATGCTGGAATAAACTGGCTTTGGTGTTTGCAAAGACCCCGTCTGTCTTTTCATGATTCAGATTCGCACACTTAGCATTGCTAATTGTATTTGCTCGCCAAGCAAGCAGATGGCGGTGAACTTCTCCCTGTTCGTGTTTCAGCTTTACCACTTCTGTCCTCTATGGACATCTGTTTGAGCTTTGATTTCATCTGCCTCATGTCCATCCTAAGGTCCATGGACTAGTACACATTTTTTCTTCACGAGTAACATGCCAATAGTGCCACTTTTGGACTTGTAGTCCGCAATTAATCCTTATTGGTAAACTAATATACTACTCGGCCCAATTAGTAGGCCTGTGTCACAAACTAGTAACCACCTGGACCCACCTCGTACCAATATCCCCACTAGTGAGTTTTTGTGTGCAGGAATATCAACAGAAGCGGGCGTTGTCAAACCCGACATGTTTGAGGCGATCAAGACATCGGTACCGTTCAGCAGAAAGTGAAAGGGAAAATGAGGACCATGATATTGCCATTGAGGAACCTGGAATAGAGTGGACACAATACCACCACGGGGAATTAGAAATACAGACTCGTGTATCTTTTTGCACTTTAGAAACACGAACAGTCGGCCGTGCTATGCATGTGGGATTCATAATAATGCGTCAGCTGGACATGAAATGTCACAACGCGCGGACAATTTTGAGCGGCATTTTCCTTGCATGAAATTGTAGATGTGTATCATCTGCACAGAAAAAGCAACGATCGTCCTATGGTGACTTTAAACATTTACACAGTATTGTATTCTGTCCATCTGCACATCTCCTGGGGGCCAAGCCCCATCACCACCCCCACATCCATGAAACATAGTGACGCCCCTGCTGAATACTGCAGATGCTCTCATGGCTTTCCTGGTTATCTGTTCACAATCCACTTGCATTCTGTGATGCCACAAAACACTTCCTTCTTCTTAATGTTGGGCCTCCCAGCCCCCACTATAAATTCCTCGTGATGTGTGAAAGGAAGGTCGGGTTATCCGCCGCAGCTCGGCTCTGCAAAGTTGGCGGGACGGGGAGTAGCGGCTCATTAATAAATCTTCAGACATAACTCGCTACACAAACTATCGCCTCCATTATACACAGAAATGTAAATATGCGCCAGGCGCCTCTCGTGGGTTTATAAATTCTTTTTCATCTTTATATCCAAGACTCCATAGAGCTCTGATTGGCGCTTCATACAAATCAATCATGTTTGGCAATGCTTGGCTGCCAAAGATTAGGATTCACCACATGCATCACAGCAAGTTACTCTTCTTGCAGTCGGTTAGTTCGGGTAGGAAGGAATGTTTTCCTGAGAGGTAAAGACAGTTGGTGGCATCAACTTGAGACAAAATGCAGAGTGGGTGTCTTGGCAAGCACTTGGCCTTCCTTCTAGAGCTCCATCAGTGCTCACAGTCAGACCTTGAGCGACCCTGCTGCCACCACTCACTTTCTTTTACACTTAGAACTGTTTTTTTTTTTTTTTTATGTCACTGCAACAAAAAAAAATGTTTACAGCGTTTTCTATGGGCTGAAATATGTGCCGCGGCATGGTGGACGACTGGGTAGCACGTCGGCCTCACAATGCAGAGATGCAGGGTTCAAAATCCAGCTCCGCCCATCCTGTATTGGGTTTGCACTCTATATTGTCCCGAGGTGTGATTGTGAGCGCGAATGGTTGTTCGTCTGTGTGTGCCCTGCAATTGGCTGGCAACCAATCCAGGGTGTCCCCCGCCTAGTGCACGACGGCAGCTCGGATAAGCTCCAACATGCCCGCGAGCCTCCTGAGGATAAGCGGATTAGAAAATGGATGTATGGATGGATAAAATATGGGCCACCAGAATCTGAACCGTTTATATTTGGATTTGAATCAACTAAACTTGAATAACTGCATTGAAAAACAGAATTTGAATCACAAATATTGAATTTGTATTGTTTATTTTGAATCATTGTATTGAAAATTTGAATTGTGCAATTTGAATATATTCGTCCTGAAAATGTATTTGATCCTGCAGTCGCTGGAGGTGTAGTGGTACACTCAACTGACTTGTGTGCGGGCAGTGTGGGATTGGTTCCCACTCAGTGACAGCGTGAATAGTCGGTTATCTCCATATGTGCCCTGCGACTGACTGGCGACCAGTTCAGGGTATAGTCTGCCTTACCCCCGAAGTTAGCCCTTTAGGAAAAGTGGTGTCGAAAATGGATGGACGGATGTAGTTGATCCTCACTGAAAATACAAGTATGAATATGTTCACATTCAGTTCTTCATCCATCCATCCATCCATTTTCCGAACCGCTTGATCCTCACTAGGGTCGCGGGGGGTGCTGGAGCCTATCCCAGCTGTCTTCGGGCAGTAGGCGGGGGACACCCTGAATCGGTTGCCAGCCAATCGCAGGGCACACTGAGACGAACAACCATCCACACTCACATTCACACCTAGGGACAATTCAGAGTGTTCAATCAGCCTACCATGCATGTTTTTGGAATGTGGGAGGAAACCGGAGTACCCGGAGAAAACCCACGCAGGCCCGGGGAGAACATGCAAACGCCACACAGGGAGGCCGGAGCTGGAATTGAACCTGGTACCTCTGCACTGTGAAGTCGACGTGCTAACCACTGGACTACCGGGCCGCCCCATTCAATTCTTCTCAATACAAATTCAGTTTGCTTGACAGGCACCCATGTACTCTCGGGAAAGCGATAAATCAAAGTTGCATAAATCTCTTTGAACCAATTAGCACATTTGCTTTTGAGCATGTGACATGATGGCCTCTCTTCACCTCCACACACTGTACCATTGTGGTACAAGTCATCTGGTCAGGGATGGATGAAAAGGTGCTCCCTTTCAAAAATAGGACAGAATAATGTATTGATAGAAACATCCATCCATCCATTTTCTGAACCACTTTATCCTCACAAGGGTCGCAGGGCATGCTGGAGCCTATGCCAACTGTTTTCTGGCAGTAGGCAGGGTACACCCTGAACTGGTTGCCAGTCAATCGCAGGGCACACAGAGACAAACAACCATCTGCACTCACACTCACACCTAGGAACAATTTTGAGTGTTCCATTAACCTGCCATGCGTGTTTTGGGAACGTGGCAGGAAACTGGAATACCCAGAGAAAACCCACGCTGGCACGGAGAGAACATGCAAACTCCACACAGGGAGGCCAGAACTGGAATCGAACACTGCACCGCTGCACTGTGAGGTCGGCGCGCTAACCACCAAAATCTACTGTCGTACTACGATGGTTCTTCAGACATTGTGCTGGGCTCCTTTGTGATCTGCTGAGTGAGCCTTCGCTGTGCTCTTGGGGTAATTTCTGGAGTCTGGTCACGCCTGGGAAGGTTCTCCACTCTTCCTTGCGTTCTCATTTGTTTCGCATTTGTTACCATTTCCAGCCTGTTAGATGTCAATGAATTTATTTTTCATCGGTTATTTAATTTCTTTGATGAATGACATTTTCTTGCAGGTTTTTGAACTCTTTTGGCTGACTTCATTTTGGTCGACAATTTCTATTTAGGCGATTTCTTGATTAAACAGGCCTGGAGGTAATCAGGCTTGGGTGTAGTCCGTGAAAATGAATTCAGCTCTCCAAAAAATGTGATTAACCACAATTAATTCATGATTTAACAAGTGGGGCGAGTACTTTTGACACAAGCTTTGACATCTTTTTTTTTTCCAAAATAAATCTAACCACCTTTACTTCGATTATCTTTGTCTGATCATTGAATTTGTTTAGTGTATCTGAAACCATAAAGTGGGGAATTTTTGCAACAAAAAGGAGACTTCAAGAAGGGAGCCAAGATTCTTTTTCATGGCACTGTATTTGTAACATGAATTGAACCTGCTCTAGTTTAGGTTCACACAAGCAAAAATGCATGTTTTTTCACTGTATCACTTCTGCTTTGTCTCTCTCTCCTCCATCAGGCCTCAAGGGAACAGCGTTTGAGCTGACTCAATGTTGCCCCCTGGAGGCTCATCAGTCATTAAGCCAGTTTTTCGGGCCAGGAGGGTGGACTTTCGCTTCGCACAAAACCACAATGGATTTGAAATAAATCAATATTTGAATGAGTTGTGGATTCACAATTTTAACAAATATGTGTATATTGTCTTCCTTCCAATTAAAAATTTGATATAATAAGTACACGTGCTGCAGGGAAGCACAGTGCAGTTATCACATTGTCTGCCTAAGAGTCTCAAACCTCTGGAGGTCAGCTCCAGTCTTCCTGTGGAGAGTTCGCGTGCTCTCCCTTGTTCTTACGTTGCTTTTCTCCAGGTACTCTGACTCCCTCCCACCGTTCTATAAACATGCATTTTTAGGTGTGATCCACTGGATCATTTTCCTGTGACGTCATGCGCCCCAAGACATGCCTGGGGCACCGTGCTGGGGTCTATGCGTCATTGTGTTCCCGTGCTTTTGAGTGTTTGCAGAAATGTCTTTGCTAACGTTGAAAAAGGTGGATTACTGATCAGATAAGCGGTTTGGAAAATGTTACCGTATAACCAGAATAGTCTCCTGTGCGCACCGCCTGCGACACGATCCGCATCTGAATGTGCTGCACGTTGCATTGCTTGATTGTGTTCGAGCTTATTCTAACACTGAATTGGCCAAATAATTTTTAGGCCCTGAAAACTGACATACAGAGAACCCCTGCATACGGTTTGGCCCCTGCAGATTCACCTATCCAAGGTAGAGCCCGACATGGTCGTCAGCAGATCACAGGGCACAAATAGACAAACCACCATTCGCACTCATATTCACACCAACGGGCAAGTCAGTCTTGAACAAACCAACCATGCATGTTTTTAGAATGTGGGAGGAAACACAAGCACGCGGAGAACACGCAACTCCTCAAAGGAAGGCCTGAGCGGATTTGGACCCACTCTCTCTGCACTGTGAGGCAGTTGGGGGAACCAGTCACCCACCATGCCGCTATCGCATCACATTTTCCTTTCAAATTAGTTTAAAAAAATGATCAACAAGAGCAACGTAGAATTTTCTTCTTTATTAAGTTTCTCTCCATGTTTATTCCACGGGGACTTAATACAGAAGATAGCCTGCCACCATATATTACCTTTGAACACAGTGCTACAGCAAATAGCACTTTTTCATTTTACTTTCCCCCCCACCCCAAGGACAAACTTTCATAATTTCCATGTGACACAGTGAAAGAGCGGCGATTGAAATTGAGGGATGGAAAAGAACAAAGTGCAACTCAATGTTTTCTCACTGAAATGTTAATCAAAGCCAGACCAGGACATGTTGATTTGTGACAGAAGTCCTGAGGGAAATGAACTAACCAAACAGTTAGGCATAACAAAAATGGGTGGCTACAGCTCCATGCGGAGTACAGACTGAGGCTCAGGAAAATGAAGGAGCACGGTGGAGATGAAATTTTGTAGCCCAGAGTGGCACACACATCAGCCAGCTATGCTTACAGTGTCACTCGGCTTGCCTCCAGTCAAAATTGGGAGGCAGAACTCAGTCACAGCAGGCTGTGTGTGCAAAAGTGAAGCAATCCATCTGCTTGCAAAACAGGCGCCTGGAATTTTCATTATGATGCTTTTAGAAAAAGAAAAACTACATTTCATGAAGGTAAATTCTCAAACATGCCACCTTTTGACCAAACTGAATCCATAAACACGTTTTCTCCATGATCGCTGGAATATTACTAATGTATACAATAAATCGGATTATAGGATTCTCCTCTCATCGCAACACTCTGTGGAGCTGGACTTCATAACTTAAAGAGCCCAGACATCTTAAAGCTGCTAAGAGTGTGTAATGATAGTTTAATTTCGATGGATTAAAAATGGATGGCTCAAACTGAAGAGGAAATCGTTTTTGCATTCAGCTCCTGAGCTGAAACTGCAGTGACAGCATCAGGAATTGGCCCTGACATACTCCTTGTGTCCATCTATAATAGGACTGTGAAAAAAACAAAGAAAAAAAAGAAAAAAGTCTTAAGACAGCTTTAGATTTGTTGTTTCAGCCAATGGTGCCTAACCACTGGGCCTCAGATACAGTAGATTGGGGAGGGGCATTATAGCTTTTGGAATACAAGCCCCACAAACTACACCACCCACCCCAACAGCACAAGCCCCCAAACTCCCCCCATCCCTGTAGTTGGCATTTGAGGAAAGGGGGGAAAAAAGACATTTAATTAAAACAAATGAAATGATTGTAATGTGTGCTAACATCAAATTGCATCCTTATCCAGATGCTTCTTTGCACCATTCTTCAACTCAGCTTCATCCTGCTAATTAATTGTACGTGTCCTACTATTGAATGTTTTACTGTGTCAATGTGAAAGGCGCATGAATACAACAGGGCAGTGGCAGCCTAGGACGTTGCATGCACACACATACACGCTGTAGCGTTGGCGAAGCACAACTACACGCACAGCCGCTTAGCCGTGATGCGCCAACACAAGGATGAAGACACATGTTGGCCCGCAGTGACAAGGACGATCCGAATGATGAGTGGAGCGCTCCCATGATCCCATTATTACTACTGAGCGAAAAGCCGCTTGCACCTCCAAATAGCCACACCGCAGTGTATTTGTTGAATTGAGGCCAAAACAAAAAAAGATTGCAATTTGTGCCAACATCAGTCTGAGCATAGAAAATTAAAAATAAAAGCTCCGAAAACAAAAACAAAGCTTTCAAAATTGCAATCATGTGGCAACGATTTTTTTTTTTTTTAATGAAGCCCTCCCCTATTCCTACCTGCACATCATTGGGATATTTACATTCAGTAGTTCAGTTCCAGGCTGAAAGCCGAGAACGAACACATTCTTACGAAGCAGAACCTATTGCAGTCGTGTTCTCAGAGAGTTTGTGGTTCTGTACATCGCTTTCGTCACAGCTGCATCCGAGTCCCCTGTGACGGTCCAAAGTCCGGCAAGGCTCCAGTTCTCATTCCGAAGAGTCTGAGCCTGCTGTATCCGGTTGGGTCCTAGCACAGTTTGAGCTTGAAGGCAGAGATCTCCATCGGATCCAGGCTGACTCTGGACTGGTTGGTCAGTGGTGGACGAGAGTACATTAGGGTCAAAGACATGGGCTGCAGCAACTGCAGGTCCAAGTTCTTGAAGAGGCTGGAAACATTCAGCTGCACAGAAGACGACAAAGCGACCCGGCGTGTCAACACAGATACAGAACAGTGTAGAGAAATGCAAGCTGGAGTAGAGCCCTGTGTGTTTGTGTGTGTGTAGAGAGAGTGTGTTTGTGTGTGTGTGTAGAGAGAGAGAGAGAGAGAGAGAGAGAGAGAGAGAGAGAGAGAGAGAGAGAGAGAGAGAGAGAGAGAGAGAGAGAGAGAGAGAGAGAGAGAGAGAGAGAGAGCGCATTGGGGAGAAAACCCTGCATAGAATTCAGACTCCAAAGGTTTCAAGAATAAGTTGCTTCTCTCTGTGACTCTAGAGAAAGGATCTTGAGGACACTGGGGTAAGTGTCCATGAAAGAAAAACAGTGTTCATTCAAGAAAATCAGAGGTGAAGACTTCAATTTTAAATTTGCGCCCTTGGCAAGTGGAACGAGGTCATTTCTTGTGCTTATATATGCTTCGCTGTATTTTGTCGTGGACTTGGAACTTATTGATCGGATTCATCCGTACTTTGTTGTTTTTACTAGTTATACTTTAGTCTTATGACTGCACATGATGTTTGATTGTACCAACCTCCAAATAAAAATCAATTTTGACATGACACGGAGCAAAACAAAAACAAACAAAAAACCATGGACCAAGCCACTGCTTAGAACTCAAAAAAACCTGCAAGTTGGGGAACTTGTAAGTCAAGGTGCCACTGTGTTTCGTGTGTGGTTCCTCACCTGTCCTTGGGTGGTGGTGCAATTGAAGCCCAAGTTTGGAACATCCAAAGCACAGTCGAGGCCAAAACGGTGAAGAATTAAAGCTGTGTATGGTGATGGAGCATTGGGGTCCTACACACACACACACACACACACACACACACACACACACACACACACACACACACACACACACACACACACACAGACACACACACACAAAAAGAAAGAGCTCAATTCATAAAAAAAAAAAAAACAATGTCATTTAATTTGACTTGAGACGTTTCAATGCCGTCCTTTTCCCATTTGTTCATAGTTTAAAATAATGTTGCACCTATGACAAAACTGTTCCAATACAACGGCAATGGCTGGCAATGCAACCAGCCTGCGAGCCTCCCATGCCCTTCTATGAAAAGCTGTCTGTCTAAAAACCGTGATCGATTGTCACCAAAATGAATGTGCACACATAGATGCATGGCCAAATCATATCGTGAAAACATTAGCATGAAAGTTGCAACATTTTTCTCATTGGAAGAAGACAAAACCTAACATGGGTTAGAAGTGCTCTCAAAATTATGGCCATACTTAACAACACCATAAAGCACTTTTATAGCAATATAGACCAGAAAACAAGTCCAAAATGAACAGTCTGGTGTATAGCACGTGAATTCCGTAATATGCCACGGGAATCGAGTGAATTGGTCAAAAATGTTCACTATGGCGGCGTACAGCCTATGTCATTATGTTGATAAATCATCGGCTTCTATTTTTTTCAGGGAATCAGATGCCATTGATATTTGCACTGTTATTGTTTATACACACTGCCTCATAGAATGAAGGAAAGTGAACGTTCAGTGGTGTTTTACTGGACGAGCAAGATGACTAACTTGTGTCGCCAAAACTCTGGCTAAATGGTAGGTACTGTACAGTAATCCCTCGTTTATAGCGGTTAATGGGGACCAAAACCACCCGCGATAAATGAAAATCCGCGAAGTAGCGACCAATAAACATTTTTTTTTTTTTAAAGTTCGCAAAAAGTCCGCAACCGGTCCGCGAGAAGCTGCAAAACAACAGCGAGTCACACAGAGCAACATATACAGTACTGTACTCCATGTATATGAATTTTTTTATTTATTTTTATTTTTTTTTAATGAATATGTTTGGAAAAAATCCGCGATGCACTGAAGCCGCGATAAACGAACCATGAAATAGCGAGGCATCACTGTATTTGTTAATGTTACTTGAAGCACTGCTGTATTCACTTTCATTCTTCGCACGTCACTGTATTTCTTGAAAAGAAGTTGTACAACCAAACATGTTGATTGGGAATTTTCCTGCTCTGTCTACTTGTGTTTCATTGTAATTATTTACCATTAGTTCATTTTATGATATGTTCTACACAAAATGTGTATTTTAAGAACAGATGGAAAAAAAAATACCATCGAAAAAAAATATATATTTTATGTATAAATAATTTGAAATGCTGTGTATTTATTTACTAAATGATTGATTTGCTTCGAATTGTCCATAGTCATTTACATTTATGGCCAGTGTTTGTGTTGTTGGCGCAAAGGTGGGCCTATATACGTCACCGCTTGTGTATTCCGATGACGATTAGCTCCTACATATAATATAGCCCCGGTCTTTTAAAGTCTGCTGCACTTAAATTGTCACATTTGATACGTGTTAGATTTTTATCTACATTCGGAAGAGACAAAATTCCATTTGGAATATCCTGAAGTATTTGTCACCATGCAGTGACACCATCCAGCCATAAAGGTGAAGCTGTGAATTTGAAAACGGTTTAAGAGTGGAGAGGGCCTCTTTACTTGGCTCTGGATGCTGCGAAGGTTTAGAAGGTGGAAGTCACAGGGCAGCATTGACTTGAGTGGCGCAAAGGTTTGCAGAAGAGGGACGCCGCGCCTTTTAGGCAGGACAGGTAGCGCCAGAATGTTATGATTCAGGATGGCGTTGGTCATGTGACTAAGCACAGAGGGGAAGCTCATCGTGGAGCTGTCCGTCATCTGGAGGAAGGCACAGGGAAAAAAAAAAAAAGGATGATGATTAGTGTGATATAGACAGTAGCTTCTAGCTTCTATGTTTCTTTGAAGAACAGCTATCAATACACAGTGGGTTTGGTGAGGTCTACTATTAAATGCCAAGTACAGGACAATATTATCCTGCTCCAGGCACTATTTTTGATGTTTTACTTGAACAGAGGATCTTGGCAGGCAGAGACTATCCAGTTTTGGATTGCTACACGGGAAAACTGCAATCGACGTCCTTTGTTCCATTTGTTACTTTTGGCTATGAGGAGCTATGAGAAAGGAAAACAGGAGCTATAGAGCACAGGCGAAGGCGGTGATTCTCAACCAGTGTGCCGTGAGAGATCATAAAGGGTGCTGAGGAAAACTATCGAATGTCAATTATTTTGATAAAAATAATGTTTTGTGTTAATTTAGGTATGCTATCAGTAACAGGCAAAAGAATGAAATGCTCTTCCACTAGATGACTGAAGGTACATTATTAACTTGAATATGCCAAGTGGTGTGCCGTGAATGTTTTTCCCATTTGAAATGCGTGCCTTCGATAAATAAAGGTTGAGAAACACTGGATGAAGGGTACATGTATCGGAGTCATGACGTTACCTCTTCAACTCTGTCACGCAATATTTTGGGGAGGAGAGTGTGAAACAAGGAAGAAAGTTTGGAAAAGAAGCCATCATGCTGAAGGCAGCACAAGGGAAGAGAAGGAAAACAAATGCATGAAATGTGAACTGGGGAAAAAAATAAGATGTTTTCATGAAGTGGGGGAAGAAGAACAATGAACAATTGATTGTTTTGAACAAAAAATAAAATTACATATATCAAATTAAAATATACACACGTAGGCCCATACACATACATACACATGCCTAAGTATGCATATATATATATATAGAGAGAGAGAGAGAGAGAGAGAGAGATCCGACATATATTAGCATATCGGTAATCATAAGACTGTGGTTATTAGAATTAAAGCCTCTCCTTTCTCTAGAGCACTTTGAAACAGTAACTCATGCCTTCGTCACATCCCGGCTGGATTACTGTAATGCACGTTACTTTTGATTCAGCCAATCCTCCTTTCAGCGGCTCCAGTTGATCCAGAATGCTGCAAAAGCACATAACTCTTACACTAGCATTGCTTCACTGGCTCCCTATACATTTTAGAATAATTTATTTTATTATTTGTTTTCAAATGTTTCTCTGTGCCCCTACGCACTTGCCTCGGGTCTGCGGACCAGACATTATTAGAGGAACCAAGAATTAAGCAGAGCGTCAGATGGGGATCGAGCCTTTTCTGTTGCTGGCAGCTCTCTTTGGAATGACCTCCCACTGAAATTTCGGCAACCCCTCTTGCTGCCCATCTTTAATACCCTAGATTGTGACTCTAACTCCATTGTACAGCAGTGTAAATTGAATTTCCCCCAAGGCATTGCAAAGTATAATATATTATCCTGTAAAAATCTAATTACATCTTTTACGATATTGTGAGACAAATAAAGGTTTTCTTATCTTATATTTATTGTTTGGCTTTTGACATAGCATGAGACTTGATATTAAGTTTTACTGCTTTTGTGCTTTCGACTGTCTGTTATTCATTTGTTGTTTGAATTATTTTAAATAGAGTTGAGTTAAAAAACTAAATATGTGGATATAAATTAGAACTATCTAATATAAAACCTCAATCGTAAAACTCATTTGAACAGAGGTGTGACTCTAACTCCATTGTACAGCAGTGTAAAGTATAATAAATTATCCTGTAAAAATCTAATTACATCATTTACCAAATCAACAAAAGGAATTAAATTTTCCTGCAAAAGTCAGACCACCACCTTTTTTTTTTTTATTGTGCCAATACTTTTGTCCATTTAGTGTGCTTGCCGCAGTTAAAGGATGTGAGAATTTCCCACTTATCTGCTGTCAGCTATCTGACCTTGTTGCCCATCAATCTCCTCTCCAGAAGTAGTCGAAAGCGGTTGACAGTCTGCTTGTTGTCCTTGAGGCCTTGTCCCAGCCCGCGATTATCATCCTGCATCAGTCGGCGGTCCAAAATTACTTCAAGCTGGCCTAGAGGAGATCATTATAGATTTAAAAAAAAATAAAAATAAAAAAAATAAAAAAACAAAACCTCACTTTCAAACCTTTAAGACTCGTATGAAATTGGGGGAATGAGCAGTCAAAAGACAGAGACTTAAAAAAAGAAAAGGGGAAAAAAAAGAGACACAAAATTCAACAGAGTAAAAGAAAATGAGATGCAAACCATTTCCCAGACTGCTGACACCCAGAGACTGTGCCGTGTGCAGCGTTAGCCTGTAGTGGCTGTCTTGAATGTAAGCCTGGCTGGGCATTGGGAAGAAGTTAGCTTGCAAAGGAAGTTTCTCGTGGCGCTGACGAAGCTGCATCTACGAAAGGAGGGGGTTGCCAGCTTCTCAACTTTTTGAGATTGTAACAGGATATGCATCAGTAATACTCGACAAAGCATTGTCACACTGACCTGGAAGCCATTAAGGTCTGTGTAGAAAACGTCTCCACTCTGGATATCCGTGACCAGTCGCAGAGCCAGCTCTTTGTTGTTCTGATCTCTGATGTCCACTGTGGTGGTGATGTCCACAGACAGGCCATCCACACCTGCAAACATAAGGAAATGAGAGGAAAGACTGCACAAACATGTATCTTAATTGAATATAAATTGCCTGTTAAACGGAACAAGCTGGCCCAAATGGTTTCATAAAATAAACAGAACACATCTGCTGCGTTTGCTATTTGAACAGATCCCAAAACAGTTTTGTTACCTGGCACGTTGTGGATGCGAATTGCCTGCTGAAAGTGTTGGTAGTATGCCACAACTTCAGAAAAGAGAGGTCCCTCAACGACACGCACCACAGGTGGCTCTTGGTAGAGGTATGGCTGAAAGCAGCAAGAAGGAGCATCATCAGCATCAATCGTGGAAATAGAACCAGTGTGGGGTTTAGAACAGAACACAAAGTGAGAGGAAACCTTCCTACCCTTGCTTTTCCATCGGGCAGGAAAAGATAAGCACCACTTTTGTCCTTAGAAGGACGAGTTCCATACACCATGAAGTGCATCTGAACCTTAATTTCCTGAGGATCATCTTTGTGTTTGATAGTCTGTAGGTTAAGACAGATTTAGCAAAGTGAGCCTTGTTGAAATGAGCAGATCAGCAGTGTTGAAACAAACCTCCAGCAGGCCTGTCGTCCCAGAGAAGCCCAGTGTCAGAAACTGGCTGCTGATGTAGAACGTCTGAGGCTCAGCCTGCTGAGACCGAACAGGAAATGGGTCTGAAGCTTGGGCAGTGCGGGTGCCTCCCGGTAGCCGGAGAACGGTGTCCGAGCGCAGAGTCATGGGCGAGTCCGGAGAGTCATACAGATGGAAGACAGCGAGACCCAGCGCTGGTAGACGCACCATGAATGTAGCCTGTGAAGAGGATTGAATTGGTGAAAATTAGACATCTGTCAATTACCCGTCTGATGCCTGGCTGCATTTCCATCGCTATAGCAGAGGAGAATCAGAGTTGACAGCAAGGCATTAAACGTTTAAAAAATTGACACATTAGCAAAAAAACTACTGCATTTGAAGCTGATTATTGACTGCCTTAACAATGCACTTCTCTGCATTATGTGCATTGATCACAATTTGTAAATGGAGAATTCACATGATGAAAACCATTGCATCTAAAGCAGGGGTCTCAAACTCCTCAAGGGCCACGTTCCCGGACATTTGCCATTTCTCCCTGCTGCAACATATCTGATGATCAGCTCGTCACCAAGCTCTGCAGAAGCCTGATAGTGATGCTGACCATTTGAATCAGGTGTGTTGCAGCAGGGAGAGATGGAAAATGTGCAGGAAAGCAGCCCTTGAGGACTAGAGTTTGAGACTCTGATCAAAAGAGTCAGGGATGCTAGTGACATGCATGTCTGACAACAGGTGCAAAAGGATCAATTTGTGTGTGAATGTTTTGTGAACTTAAAATATGAAAGGCTAGCTTGCAGGAAAAATAAAACAAAATAAAGAATGCTGTGGGATGATCCTTCAATGCTGTATTTTTTTAGAAAGCACTCAAACAAAGTGTGGAAAAAAGGAACAACTTTCTCAACCTGAGCAATATGGGAACGGATCAAGAGCTGTTGCTCCAAAACACTGTCTATCAATAATTGTTCTATGAAGCAAGTTCAGATTTACTGTGTTTTTTTTTTTGTAAAACATTGTCAAAGTATCGTTAGTTTTTTGGAGGGAAAAAAAATATATATATATATATATATATACACACACACACACACACACACACACACACAT